AACTCAAGGAATTTATTTAAAAATTTAAATGCCGAAGCCGGGTTACTAAATAATTTTAGGCCATTTTTCTCTGTGTATAGTCTATACTTAGATCTCAATAAAATGCGTAATCAAATATGGCCTATGTATGAAATGTTCTTTTACGTTTGTAATTTTAGCTTGGTCATCTAAAAATGGCACAGGATGTCGAAAAATTGTAAACTTGGAATTTTTACGATGTCACAAAATCGAGGTATTAATAATAAGTTAAATGCCGGAACGTGACAATTTATATTGACAAAAATTTGTATTTTTACCGTCGTTTATTTTTTAACAAAAAAACCAAGAACGAAAAAAATCACAATTTAAGACACTTAACAATGCTAAATCCTATTTTGCTACCCTTTATATAAGACTTGTCTTAAATATGCGAAATATGATATCTATACCTAACATATATCTTCGAGTTAACACACATCTGCTTGTCCAATAAAACTAAAAATTTTCACGCTCTAAGGCTATAAAACTACGGATACGACTCTTAAGCAAATATGTACCTTAAATCGTTTTACGGGAGCCTCCGGTATATGCAGTAAAATATCGTGTGTATTATAAGATTATACATGACAGATATAACAATACCCAAGCGAAATGATGCATCCGGAAACCAAACTGGCCTATTCTTGGAGTTTCTAGAGAGGAAAATGCTTGAGTGTTGGGCCATAGTTTGTCGTACGTATGTGGGTCGTCGTAAGTGTTCAGGAAATGCCAAATAGAATCGGACAAGGATTGAAAAAATGACCCAACTACCGTAAACCAACAATTTGTCGACTTCCATGATAAACTAAACTTATATTTCAAAATTCTTAATATTTTCATATAAATGCTTTAGGTCGAAATCAATTTCTTATTTGATTAAGTTGAGTTAGTCATCTCGACGATGCCGTAATGAATCGGAAAGGTTGTGCTGGACTCTAGGTCTTTGGAAAAATGTTAGTTCCGTACACGAATTAGTGTATGTTTGTACACACACTTATACTGGAAAATTGTGTAAGTACGTTTCAAAAAATGCCTAGTGGTTCTTGCTACGTATTTGCCTGTGAGCTTCATTTTTGAGTGAATCCTAGTGAAGAGGAGGTATAAAAATAGGAAAATTTGTATTTTTAATATCTAATCAATGCAACTTACTGGCTTCCCTTTTAAAATTATATTATTTTCAAATTCTTACTAACGTCAGCATTAATACATAAATGAGAAAAATCAGCAATTGTATGTAACTACTTATTGTTTCTTCAAAATAACCAAGACACTACAGTTAATTCAAGTCCGTCTAAGTCTAAATCAAGCTATGTTTTGTAGCAATGGATGCATTACTCTCTGTTCAATTCATCGCAAAACTACTCGAAACACCACGATAAGCGACTCCTACACCTCTAATATACACTGACTAAAACGATATTCATTTCCTTTAAAATAAGCTACCGTCATCTACGATGTGGTCGTGACAAAAATCCTAAACCAAACGACCCTTTCCCTCAAAGGCAAACAGCGCCTTGTTGACAAGAATAACGCCGGCAAAATATCAATCCGGTTGCCGAGCACCGGCAATGGCGTGAGAACCGTAAATCTTTTTTTGTTGAGCGCGTGAAGCAGAATAATCGAACAGTTCACGTATATCCTAAGGTCGTCCAATTTTACGTAAAAATGATATTCCTCACAATATACGCAAAGCTTTTTGCTTCTCTATATCCTATTTTTGTAAACTGAGCGAACTGTGAGACCGTCCTAATATTGCCTCGCCACTATCTCATTCTGTTCATCTTAGGTTGGGTTAGAATAAGTATAAGTTAAGTTAGGCTACCTCCCCATCTACCTCCGTTTATCTTATGTTGTTAATGGGTTTAATGGATTTGTTAACGTAACCTATCTCAATCCTAACCCTTATCTCCAAGATAAACGGAACCAAAAAATAAATATAGAGCAATATGTCAGTACCTGAACCAAATTTTCTCTGGTATACTTCCACGCATATTAAAGTTATACAATACCCTAACCCTTCCAGTCGGGTTTCAAATATCTTGCCCATGCGCCGAATTTTACACCAGTTGACAGTGAATTGAACATTACCAAGAATTGGGTCTCGCAGTGTAGATTTAGAACCTACTGTCAAAATAAGCCGTACGTATGTATATAAGCCACGCCGGCAACATATTATATATATATACTTATTACTAAAAGCCCCAACAGCTGATTATACGTTTTTTATATAACATCAAGCATAGTCGCAGACTGTCTATAAATTACAGTAGATGAATGAACAATATCCGTTTGTCGTAATACCATGACAAATATTTTGTATTTGCGATAAAAGAACTGTTCTGCGATGGCGATCCTTGTTTTGTATATTACTAATCAGCACCTAATTTTAAACTATACTTTGAGGTATAGTAAAAATCATAACTCAGAATCCATAGCTGCAACTTTTCCCCACATGAAAACGACTAAATAAACAGTTTACATATCACTAAGCATATTCAAAACTCGTTTTGTATCTGTCTTCCCTCAACACAAAGTCTTACAGCCATAGGAATGCGCTTTAGTGACCGCAAATTTGGGGCACCGCCTGCGATGTGGCGTTCTGCTGAATTTCACATATTTGCGGAAACGAAGTGAAATAAAATCATGATAGCTTAATTGCAACCTATTCATGGTCATAAATAATGGGAATGGAGACTGTGTAATTGGATTTTTGTAGCGTCTTTACTCGTATATTACATAATGGGCGTGATTACTTACTCGTTTGTCTGTCATTTAATGTAACAACAGTTGGGTATGGAGAAAAAGGCAATTTAATTAAAGCTAGAGAGCAATGCTCAAATTTATAGACACAAATGTCAAATGACTACCGCAATTTGAGCAAAATTTCAAACAATTGTTGAGTGTTATATTAGACGTGTACAAGTTGTCATATAAAGGTATGTGCGTGAAATATAAAAAATAGCAAAATTTTGGATGGTATGTTGCGTCCTGTAGGACTCAAAAAACTAATTTGTACAAATAAAAGTAATAGTCTTCTAACGACTTTTTTCATCTTTGAGTACTAACAATTTCAAATCGGTTACATTTTATTTTTAGTTTTCAATGCCAAGTTAATTAACACAGAGAGGGACCTACAAATAGTCTCTGCCCCGGAAAGTCAAAGTGACGTAAACTTACCTCAAAGGTTGCAAAAGAAAAAGCTGACCCGGGCGTGATCAAGTTTTCGCCTAGCTAGTGACAAAGCTTATAATCTTTGAAAGCATGAATATGTTTAAGATTCACACACACTGGGCAGAATTTTGTCCACAATTTTCTGATATATATCTATATATCATATTGTATACTGTAGTTTATTATTGATTTATTATACCTACGCTATACATTATTTAATATCGCTGATTTAAACAGAAGTGCTACATTTGAAAAACACATAAAATTTCATGAGTCACGTTTTTCATTTTTTACCAATTATAATCAAAAACACACAGTACGGGTTTTATAAAGGCTTAACGGCAACTAATATTCTATATTAATAGATAATTTAATATGGCACCGGTACATTTATCATGAAATATTATCTCAGGCAGATGAGACTTAAGACGTTTATTATTTGAGTACTTGTTTTCTATCTACACTTGACCGCTCCAGGTAATAGCTTAAGATATAATACTAGTTAAATAACCTAGAAACAAAAGCTCGTGAGTCATTTTCATGGGCAAATTATGAAATATATCATGGAGGTAATCCTAACGGAATAATTCCCCCGAATATTCTTTAAATTAGTTGTATAGTCTTACTAATTTACTGGCCTTCTTTCAACGAAGATAACTAATCCTTTCTTTTTCATTTGGAAATTATTTTTGTTAAACCAAAATTGACAGCATTTTACCGTTATCGGACATGAAATTTAACCTAGAGTTCGTTCTGTTTGTTGTGACAGTATATATTTAAATTCAGTATTCAAATTTCCAGCTGCGAATTTTCCGTGAAAATCAGATTTTGATAGCTAAAACTCTGTCGTATGCAATCCTTTCTTAATAAACTAAAGAACGCTTAGTAAAGCTGATGTTTTGAAAGTTTGCAATTCCGACTCCGCGATTTCAGAATTTCGACTCTCGACTCCGGAGAATTTGAAAGTGCGACTCCGGGTTCGAGTCTGACTTGTGAAAAATGCTAAACTACGATTCCATAGTCCTGAGTCAAAAGTACTACCGCTCTTTTGCGCACCTTAGTGGTTTGTGAGTTTGTGGTCGAGATAGGTAAATTTGGCGTAGCTTTTGTAATTGAAAACACGCTTTAATTATTGTCAATAGAGACGATGACTGAACTATCACACGGAATTTCCGCATTTTGTGACAAAATATAGATTTGTTTTCTTTCCATTAATTTTATCATTACCGCCACATATTTTTGAACCGCAGTCCTTTCAAATCCATGAGAGATGGCCGATGGGAGGGGAAAGGAGAAAACATATCATTTGCAGAACTATTTCAATGTTGCAACGTTGAAAAGGTATCAATTCTTGTGGTAGTCGAGTCGCATGATTGAAAAGAATTTAGTAAGTTATGTTAAACAGCAAATAGGAATGGTTAAATTTGGAATTGGTCTTTAATACTACGAATTTGCCGAAATCAAGATTTTGGCACGCGAATGGGTGGGTACTCCCGTAGTGTATGTACTAGGTTAGAGTTAGGCCATAATTTTATTCCGATTTTCTAAAGCTTTCCGGTTCAACTGAGAATATTTTATTTCTATTACGAGTTCGGGGACTGCCAAGTGAAAATACCTCCTGCCCATAGGTTTCAGTCCCTTTTACACAATTTGATGTAGAGTAGGCGAGCAAAATTAGTTACCTCCATATTGGTACATACACTTCTGGAGAGCCCGCGAATGTATACAACACATGACAATATGTAGTGTGTGTTCTAAGCTTACACATCCATAAAAAATATAAACTTGTTAATAATTTGTTTCAAGCCTACCTTTGAATGGACTACCTAGATCGCCTGGTCGTGTCGGGCTGGGTGTTGTTGGGCTCTTGGTTGGTTTTTCTCGGTTAGGTTCTTGATCCGTGAGTGACGCTGAACAAAATTTTCAATAAATTTTCACTATCTTACTAATTTTTTTTTTATTACGAATCAGTTTTTTGGTTAAAATCGGTGGTTTTTATACTTTTCTTATTTTTTTTTTCTTATTTATCAACACTTTACTTACAACATAATAATATCCATTGCTCGTGCGGTAGACTTGAGTTCCAACTTTCGCATATTCTTTTCAATTTCTCCTTAGGTTCCCCTTTCAGAACTTCTATATTTGATTGAAAACGATAAGTTAAATGATAACTAAGTTGCACTAGTTAGGCCAATAAATTATCGCAAAATGGTGAAATTGGAAATTTGGCAACATACGTTTTATAGGGTCATTCTGTGTTTTGCTGTCGGGTTTTCTATCATTGGGTGGTTTGATAGTTGAAGTTTCATCATCTGGTTGTCGATTAGTCGGTGTTCTATCACTAGGCGGTGTTGTGTTACCTAGTACAACAAATATAATCAATGGTCATTAAAAAACCTGCCCGCCCATGAGTGCGCGTTCCCAACAAAAAGCAATCATACCGCAGATGTCTTTCCAAATAGCATAATGTATTATCCGATAGAATGATTTGCACCACTTTTGTTTCAAAGCTTCTTCGCTAATCTCCGTCTTCGTATCTAAGTAGAAAAATTTATATGAAATACGAGGAATTCAACTTCAATAATCCAATATATAGCAAATCGATATTAGGTGGTCGATTGATCGATAAAGCAGGTGGCAGTACCAAGTTATCAAATGCATCGATTAAGCTCAATGTTGCTGTCAATTTTATATATCTATACCATAGCTGCAGTGGATAATTTTTTTTTTATTCTAATCGCTGCAATATTTATTAGGTTTGTAATTGTTAAGTGTTACCCGCACTAATTTATAACGTTTATTGTCTATTCCGTATATCTGAAACGAATAGTTGAATAACTATTCTCATGAACGACATGAACTAAAGAGTCGTGGTCCGCCATGTTATTTAACCTTCATATTGGCTTTCCTTCGCCAGTATAAATATGAAAATCTTAACCTTATCTTATGAAAAATTCCATTACAAATTTTACGTTTGAATACTCTATTTAGAATAAGATAACTTTGTTGTTGGTTGGTATGTTTTATTTACCTGGTTCTTCAGTTGGTTTGTTGTCTTCTGGTTGTTCATCAGTCGAATCTTTGCTTTTATTTCCCGCTCTCTGATCGACTATTTTTTCCTCTTCTTCTCCAGGTTCTTCATCGATTTCAATTGTTTCAGCTCCTTGTTTTCTTCTAAGTGAAATCTTAACCCGTTTGCTTCTTTTGTTTTCTACAGGGCGAAACAAAAGATTAGAAAACAAACTGTTGATTTTAAGAAAATGTATTTGTTAGAGTTGCACCTCTTAATGTTGTGAACCATATTATTGCCTTTGTTCTTTCTGGAATCTCAACATCCAACGTATCTGTGTCCTTATTCAATTTGTACGTTGCTGATGTACCATTGTTGTTCGGTGTCACAAATCTGTAAAGAGATATGTCTATGTATCCATTTTACAGTCTATATAGTTCTCTATGCAATTTGAAATATACTTGTCATCAAAAGTAATTGTAAGCCTGAATTCAATAGAAAAATAATAATCTATGCATTGAATGTTAATCAGGCGCAAACGTTGAATAATTCTGATTCGGGCAGTTTCATCGTTTCCTTACTCAGCTTTATATCCACTCCTCCTTCCAGTGGGATGAGACCATCGAACTTGGTAGTTGTCACTTTCAATCTGTCGAATTCGAATGTCTCGTGGAGGCATCGGTCCTGAAGAAATTGGACGTTGATAATAGTATTAAACTCGGTAGGTGCAAATTGAATAAAGTTATATTGAACTTAGTGCAATAGTAATTTCTGATAGTTTCTTTTTAAATAGGAATATAAAAATATACTATAAAAAAATTTCAATGCGTGAAGATGAAAAGTGAAAACGCTAAATAATAATTGAATATAGTGGAATATATCTAGTAAAACAATTGAAAAAAAATGTATTCAAGTAATAAATAATCTACTTGTAATGAAACTTGTCTCTACTGTATCACTTGAATCTCCGTTTTCTTCAGCATTTAGTTCTACTCGGTAGTTAGTGCCAGGTATTAATTCTGAACGTAAAGAATGAAAAAGAAGAAGTATTTTATCAGCAAACAATGAAAATTTTTTATGTCACTAAAAATTTTCAAATAAAACAAAACGACCGCATATTGCACATGTTTTTTTCTTTTTTTCGCCAGTCTGAGATAAACAATATAAGTCTCATGCTTACTATTGACGACGAAAAAACAAGCATGTTCTATCTTCTTCCAACTCTTTGTTTTAATTGCCAGAAAATAAAAGGATTATTTCTACCTTTCACTATAACCTTTCCAGGGCTACCAGGATCAGGTGTAGAAGTCAACTCTGCAGCTTTCATTGTTTCTCGTTCCTCTTCGTAAACAACAATCCGGTGAAGGTATGAAATTTTTTGCTTTTTCCAACCAATTATAGCAGAGTGGGTATCAGTAAATGTTACTGGTTTCAAAGCCGGAGTTGGTAGCTTGGTCTGTGAAATATGAACAGAAAGCGTTAGTGGCGTAGCATCAAATTCGTGTATTTTGTTCGTAAATCCTCAGCTGATAAAGGGCAAGATTAATCAAATCAATGACAAATCAATAAATAACAAAATTCCAGGGATGGCGACTAGAACTATATAATTTCACATTACAAACACACTATAGTAGAAGCTCCTACCTTGAACTGAATACTATCGATAACTTTTTCTTCTCTCGAAGGACTTATCCTGGCACTTAGTGTTGCGTGATATTTAGTAGTCGGTAATAAGAAGGGTAAATATAAAGAGTTGTTGCCCCGTTGCGGATGTCTTGTTTTGGCTCCTTCGATGGACCCATCATACTGCACAACTGCAAATTGGACGAAGTACCTGGCACAATAATGAAAAAATGAACAAAACATAAATTAGTTGATTTTGCCATGAAAAACTCAGTGGAAAATATTTATAATAATATGGTGGTTTATTTTACCTGATTGCTTGATCTCTATGGACTTCCACAGGACGCCAAAACAATTCAGCGGACGATGAAGTCACTGATCTAACATAGAGTTTTGTTTTTGTTATACTGTCGTCTGGTTGCCCATCCGTGGAAGATCCATCACCTGGTTGTCCATCGGTTGGAGTTCTGTCACCTGGTTGTCCATCGGTTGGAGTTCTGTCACCTGGCTGCTCATCCGTGGGAGATTTATCATTTGGTTGTCCATCGTCTGGAGTTCTGTCACTTGGTTGTTCATCCGTGTGAGATTTATCACTTGGTTGTTTATCCGTGGGAGATCTATCACCTGGTTGTCCATCGGTAAGAGTTCTGTCACCTGGCTGCCCATTCGTGGGAGATCTATCATCTGGTTGTCCATCGGTTGGAGTTCTGCGACCTGGTTGTCCATCCGTGGGAGATCTATCACCTGGTTGTCCATCGGTTGGAGTTCTGTCACCTGGTTGTCCATCCGTGGGAGATTTATCACCTGGTTGTCCATCCGTGGGAGATTTATCATCTGGTTGTCCATCGGTTGGAGTTCTGTCACCTGGTTGTCCATCCGAGGAAGATTGATCACCTGGTTGTCCATCCGTGGGAGATTTATCATCTGGTTGTCCATCGGTTGGAGTTCTGTCACCTGGTTGTCCATCGGTTGGAGTTCTGTCACCTGGTTGTCCATCCGTGGGAGATTTATCATCTGGTTGTCCATCGGTTGGAGTTCTGTCACCTGGTTGTCCATCCGAGGAAGATTTATCACCTGGTTGTCCATCCGTGGGAGATTTATCATCTGGTTGTCCATCGGTTGGAGTTCTGTCACCTGGTTGTCCATCCGTGGGAGATTTATCATCTGGTTGTCCATCGGTTGGAGTTCTGTCACGTGGTTGTCCATCCGAGGAAGATTTATCACCTGGTTGTCCATCCGTGGGAGATTTATCATCTGGTTGTCCAGCGGTGGGAGTTCTGTCACCTGGTTGTCCATCCGTGGGAGATTTATCACCTGATTGTCCAACCGTGGGAGTTCTATCACCTGGTTGTCCATCGGTTGGAGTTCTGTCACCTGGCTGCCCATCACTGGGAGATTTATCACCTGGTTGTCCATCCGTGGGAGATCTATCACCTGGTTGTCCGTCGGTTGGATTTCTGTCATCTGGCTGCCCATCCGTGGGAGATTTATCATCTGGTTGTCCATCGGTTGGAGTTCTGTCACCTGGTTGTCCATCCGTGGGAGATCTATCACCTGGTTTTCCATCCGTGGAAGATCTATTACCTGGTTGTCCATCGGTTGGAGTTCTGTCACCTGGCTGCCCATCTGTGGAAAAATTATTATCTGGTTGTCCATCGGTTGGAGTTTTGTCACCCGGTTGTCCATCGGTTGGAGTTCTGTCACCTGGCTGCCCATTCGTGGGAGATTTATCATCTGGTTGTTCGTCGGTTGGAGTTCTGTCATCTGGTTGTCCATCCGTGGGAGATTTATCACCTGGTTGTCCATCCGTGGGAGATCTATCACCTGGTTGTTCATTGGTTGGAGTTCTGTCACCTGGCTGCCCATCCGTGGGAGATTTATCACCTGGTTGTCCACCCGTGAGAGATTTATCGCCTGGTTGATCCGTGTGTAGCGCTAAACAAAATTTCAAATACAACTTTCACTATTTGAGTATCTTACTATTTTTTTTTATTACAAATCATTTTTTTCGTTCAAGTTGTTGATTTTTTACACTGTTATTATTCATCAACACTTTACTTACAACATAATAATATCCATTGCTTGTGCGGTAGCCTTGAGTTCCAACTATCGCATATTCTTTTTAATTTTTCCTTTGGTGCCCCTCCCTCGCTATTTAGAAAATGATTACTTTGTTCTTGATTGGTGTGTTTCATTTACCTGGTTCTTCAGATGGTTTGTTGTCTTCTGGTTGTTCATCAGTCGAACCTTTGCCTTTATTTTCCACCCCCTGATCGACTGTTTCTTCTTCTTCAGGTTCTTCATCGATTTCAATGGTTTCAGCTCCTGGTTTTCTTCTGAGTGAAATTTTAACCCGTTTACTCTTTTTGTTTTCTGCAGGACGAAACAAAAGGTTAGAAAACAAATTGTTAATTCTGAGAAAATAGTTTCGTTAGATCTGCACCTCTTAATGTTGTGAACCATACTATTGCCTTTGTCTTTTCTGGGATCTCAACATCCAACGTATCCTTGTCCTTATCCAGTTTGTACGTTGCTGCTGTACCATTGTTATTTGGTGTCACAAATCTGTAGAAATATGCACCTATTTTACAGTCTATATAGTTTTTATGCAACTTGGAATCTCGTATTTTGTCCTATATATATAATGCTCACTGTTAGAATGTGATGAATGTCAAACGTATATTGGTATAGAGACGACTATATAAAGTGACCGTGTTGTGGCTGTATCGAGGAGTACTTAAGAAATTGCATCTTAAATTTTTGTTATTACATGTTGCTACCAGTTTCTTCACTTCGGTACTTGTTTTTAATGTAATCTCCTCTTATTTAAATCAAAAGTTTCGGATTGGTACGAAGACAAATGTAAATTTGGTCGGGACCGCTCATTAAACGTCTGTTCAATGTTTTTCTAAATTATATTGTTCGAAAAAATTCCGTAGAATTTTGTTACCAAAAGTAATGGCAGGCCTGAATTCGAATAATATTATTATACGGATTGCATATTTATCAAGCGCCAACGTGGAAAAATTCTAATTCGGGTAGTTTTATTGTTCCTTACTCAGCTTTGTATCCACTTCTCCTTCCAGTGGGATGAGACCATCGAACTTGATAGTTCTTACCCTCAATCTGTCGAATTCGAATGTCTCGTGGAGGCATCGGTCCTGAAGAGATTAAACATTGATAATAGTATTAAACTCAGTAGTTGCAAATTGAATAAATTATGTTGAACTTAGTGCAATGGTAATTTCTGATAGTTTGTTTTTAAGTGTCAATATAAAAATATACTATGAAAGAATTTCAATGTGTGGGAATGAAAAGTCGAAATGCAACGTAATAATTGAATATTAGTAAAACAATTAGGTTGAAAGGTAGTAAAGTAATAAATAATCCACTTGTAATAAAACTTGTCTCTGCTGTGTCACTTGAATCTCCGTTTTCTTCAGCATTTAGTTCTACTTGGTAGTTAGTGCCAGGTGTTAATTCTGAACGTAAAGAATGAAAAAGAAAAAGTATTTTATCAGCAAACAATGAAAATTTTTCATGTCACTAAAAATTTTCAAATAAAACAAAACTACCGCATATTGCACATGTTTTTTTCTTTTTTTTTCGCCAGTCTGAGATAAACAATATTAGTCTCATGCTTACTATTGACGACGGAAAGCAAGCATGTCCTATCTTTTTCCAACTTCATGGTTAAATTGCCAGAAAATTGAAAAGATTGTTTTTACCTTTCACTATAACCTTTCCAGGGCTACCAGGATCAGGTGTAGAAGTCAACTCTGCCGCTTTGACTGTTTCTCGTTCCACTTCGTAAACAACAATCCGGTGAAGGTATGAAATTTTTTGCTTTTTCCAACCAATTATAGCAGAGTGAGTTCCAGTAAATGCTACTGGTTTCAAAACCGGAGTTGGTAGCTTGGTCTGTGAAATATAAACAGAAAGCGTTAGTGGCGTAGGATCAAATTCGTGTATTGGTTTGTCGTATTAATACTACGTTTGTTCGTAAATCCTCAGCTGATAAAGGGCAAGATTAATTAAATCAATGACAAATCAATCAATACCAAAATTCCAGGGATGGCGACTAGCAATATATACTTTCAAATTACAAACACACTATAGTAGAAGATCCTACCTCGAACTGAATACTATCGATAACTTTTTCTTCTCTCGAAGGACTTATCCTGGCACTAAGTGTTGCGTGATATTTAGTGGTTGGTAATAAGAAGGGTAAATATAAAGAGTTGTTGCCTCGTTGCGGATGTCTTGTTTTGGCTCCTTCGATGGACCCATCATACTGCACAACTGCAAATTGGACGAAGTACCTGGCGCAATATTGATAAAAATAAACAAAACATAAATTAGTTGATTTCGCCATAAAAAAACTCAGTGGAAAATATTTATAATAATATGGTAATTTATATTACCTGATTGTTTGATCTCTAAGGACTTCCACAGGACCCCAAAACAATTCAGCAGACGATGAAGTCACTGATCTAACATGAAGTTTTGTTTTTGTTATACTGTCACCTGGTTGTCCATCAGTGGGAGATCTATCATCTGGTTGTCCATCGGTTGGAGTTCTGTCACCTGGTTGTCCATCCGTGGGAGATCTATCACCTGGTTGTCCATCGGTTGAGGTTCTGTCACCTGGCTTCCTATCCGCGGTAGATTTATCACCTGGTTGTCCATCGGTTGGAGTTCTGTCACCTGGTTGTCCATCCGTGGGAGACTTATCACCTGGTTGTCCATCGGTTGGAATTCTGTCACCTGGTTTTCCATCTGTCGGAGGTTTATCACCTGGTTGTCCATCGGTTGGAGTTCTGTCAGCTGGCTGCCCATCCGTGGGAGATTTATCATCTGGTTGACCATTCGTTGGAGTTCCGTCACCTGGCTGCCCATCCGTGGGAGATTTATCACGTGGTTGTCCATCGGTTGGAGTTCTGTCACCTGGTTGTCCATCCGTGGGAGATATATCACCTGGTTGTCCATCGGTTGGAGTTCTGTCACTTGGCTTCCTATCCGTGGTAGATTTATCACCTGGTTGTCCATCCGTGGGAGATTTATCACCTAATTGTCCATCGGTTGGAGTTCTGTCACCTGGCTTCCTATCCGTGGTAGATTTATCACCTGGTTGTCCATCGGTTGGAGTTCTGTCACCTGGTTGTCCATCCGTGGGAGATTTATCACCTGGTTGTCCATCGGTTGGAGTTCTGTCACCTGGTTGTCCATCCGTGGGAGATCTATCACCTGGTTGTCCATCGGTTGGAGTTCTGTCATCTGTTTGTTCATCCGTGGGAGATTTATCACCTGGTTGTCCATCCGTAGGAGATCTATCACCTGGTTGTCCATCGGTTGGAGTTTTGTCACCTGGCTTCCTATCCGTGGGAGATTTATCACCTGGTTGTCCATCGGTTGGAGTTCTGTCATTTGGCTGCCCATCCGTGGGAGATTTATCATTTGGTTGTCCATTGGTTGGAGTTCTGTTACCTGGCTGCCCATCCGTGGGAGATTTATCACCTGGGTGTCCATCGCTTGGAGTTTTGTCACCTGATTGTCCATCGCTTGGAGTTTTGTCACCTGGTTGTCCATCGGTTGGAGTTCTGTCACCTGGTTGTCCATCTGTGGGATATCTATCACCTGGTTGTCCATCAGTTGGAGTTCTGTCACCTGGTCGTCCATCCGTGGGAGATCTATCACCTGGTTGTCCATCGGTTGGAGTTCTGTCACCTGGCCGCTTATCCGTGGGAGATTCATCACCTGGTTGTCCATCGGTTGGATTTCTGTCACCTGGTTGTCCATCTGTGGGAGATTTATCACCTGGTTGTCCATCGGTTGGAGTTCTGTCACCTGGTTGTCCATCCTTGGGAGATTTATCACCTGGTTGTCCTTCGGTTGAAGTTCTGTCACCTGGCTGCCTATCCTTGGGAGATTTATCACCTGGTTGTCCATCGGTTGGAGTTCTGTCACCTGGTTGTCCATCCGTGGGAGATTTATCACCTGGGTGTCCATCGCTTGGAGTTTTGTCACCTGGTTGTCCATCGCTTGGAGTTTTCTCACCTGGTTGTCCATCGGTTGGAGTTCTGTCACCTGGTTGTCCATCTGTGGGATATCTATCACCTGGTTGTCCATCAGTTGGAGTTCTGTCTCCTGGTCGTCCATCCGTGGGAGATCTATCACCTGGTTGTCCATCGGTTGGAGTTCTGTCACCTGGCCGCTTATCCGTGGGAGATTCATCACCTGGTTGTCCATCGGTTGGATTTCTGTCACCTGGTTGTCCATCTGTGGGAGGTTTATCACCTGGTTGTCCATCGGTTGGAGTTCTGTCACCTGGTTGTCCATCCTTGGGAGATTTATCACCTGGTTGTCCTTCGGTTGAAGTTCTGTCACCTGGCTGCCTATCCTTGGGAGATTTATCACCTGGTTGTCCATCGGTTGAAGTTTTGTTACCTGGCTGCCGATCCGTGGGAGATTTATCACCAGATTGTCCATCGGTTGGAGTGTTTTCACCTGGCTGCCGATCCGTAGGAGATTTATCATCTGGTTGTCCATCGGTTGGAGTTCTGTCACCTGGCTGCCCATCCGTGTGATTTCTGTCGCCTAATTCTCGATCAGCTGGAGTTCTCGCATCTGGTTGAGGATTTGTTGGCGTTATGTCACCTGGTTTTCTGTTTTCATTTGATATATTGTCTTCTGGCCTGTCATCTTCAGTTTCGTCGTCGACTTCAATGTTTGAAGAACCTGGTCTTCTTTTCAATGACACTTTTACTCGCTTACTTTTTTTGTTTTCTGTAAAATAAAATAAACGCTTAATGATGTATCAATTTTACAATCTACATGAGTATACAAAATTCTTGCCTCTTAGTGTTGTAATCCTGATTATAGCTCTGGTTCTTTCGGGAATCTCTACATCCAGTGTATTTTTTGTTTCATTAAAATTGAAACTCAATGCGGATGATTTATCTCTTGGTATAACGAATCTATATGAATAAAATATTTCAAACGTTTAGTGTTGTTCATCTAGTGTAGTATATTGTAACTTTGTGTAGTTACAATATGTTGATAGTGAGGTCTCAAAAATGTCTTTTCCAACTTCAGAGAGGTAGTGTGAACATATGAAATCTATACAATTGGGACATGACATTTATGAGACTCTTATATTTTGATATTTTTTTTATTAAAATGTGAAAATAACTTGTATTCCTTTTCTTTAATTATGATCAAGCTTTCAAAATTCCTAAATTATTTTTAATGTTGATTACGAGTCGACCTTTTTCATTGTTGTTGACTTTTGAGTAATATGTTACACGCAATATTTACTCACTCAGCTTTATAACCATTTCTACGTCCATTTGGATGAGTCCATTGAACCCGATAGGTATCATCTTCTATACGATTGATTTTAATATCCCGGGGAGGCATTGGTCCTAAATGAAAAGAAAATTATAACATTTTCATTAAATATTGCGAGAGCGCTCAGAGTCACTGCTTTTGCATATGTGTTTAGTGATAATAACAAGCACAAATCGCGATCCGAAATGGGAGTAATTTTTGAAGTTTGAATTAGTAGTTACCACCGAAACTGAAATTGTTAAACGCGAGTCCCTAATGATCAAAACAGCGGACTTGATTATCTTAACATCGCCGGTTAAGAATCCTTGGTTCTCATCCCTTTACCCCGTATATAAATAGATTCGGTAGGCAATGCCGATCCGGATAGATTTCTGTTATTCAAAAATATAGCGAGCGATAACTCCTCAGATACTAGTGGCCTCTCGTACAAAGCCTTGTTCGTAGTGAGGGTCATGTGACGCGAAAAATTAAACTGAATTAAAGCATTATCAAAGAAAGTCATGTATGTGAATTACTTGTTATAAATCTTATTTCCGAAGTTTCACTTGAATCTCCATTTTCTTCGGCTGTGACTTCGGCACGGTACATAGTTCCCGGCTGGAGTTCTGAATATGAGAAATTGTCTTGTAAAATTTAATAATCTTATTCTCGCACAGGGGCCACGGGAGTGAGGATAACACAACGTTTCAGGATTATATCGAGAGATAACAATTATTGACAATATAGCACACCGATTACATTTCACTCCCGATATATCAAACAGGGTTAAAATATATTCGCAGTAAGCTGATTAAAACTTATGTACTCTCTTGCTCCAAGGAATGATATGTGTTACTGTGCATTAGTTTTTGATGTTAATTAACCGAGTAAAATTCAATATTGCTCATGCATTCAAGCCTTCCTAATATTCAACCTGTTATTAAAACTTTTCCAGATTTATCTGGCACCGGTACTGAAGTCAATTCCGCAACTTTAACTGGTTCCGGTTCTTCTTCAAATACAACGATTCGGTGAAGATAGGAGACTTTTTGTTTTTGCCATGTAAGTATTACACGATCGGTTCCCGTATTTGTGATTGGCTTCAATATTGGCGTCGGTGGGTTCGTCTGTTTGTCCGAAATAAGTTATTTAAATATTAGTGAACTTGAGATAGCTAATTAAATTAGTCGTTCGTAAGTATTTCCAAGTCAATAACAGATCAAAGAATTCTGGAAATAGCAAAAAAGCCTTAAATTTTTCATAAGAATGTAGCAAAACAGTAGTTAAGTTTCACAATTTTATAGAAAAAACAACTAACCAAATAATACCCTGTAAAGTTATTAGGTTACCTTAAATTCTAGACTGTCCATGACTTTTTCTTCTCCCGAAGGACTCAATCTAGCACTGAGAGTTACATGATATTTAGTAGCAGGTCGAAGGGACGTTAGAAGAATTTTGTTTTTGCGTGGTCGTGGATATCGCGTTCTAGCTCCTTCAATAGTCCCATCATATTGTACGACAGCAATTTGAACAAAGTATCTGAAAGCAATATAAGAAAATAAAAGTTTTCAAAATTCTTGGTTTTCCACTAAACACGTTTTACAACACAACGTAGAGGAAATGAAATTGTGTTAAGAAGTAAAAATATTTTCCACTGACAATTATTTAAAAATGCCGTAATAATTCACGCGTATAAGATGGTTCTGATTAGAAATCAACCTAATACTGCATAACGGTATGATCGAAATCGAATCCCGGAACGCGGAAGCGAACAGCCAGTTGATTGAGTAGTTAGTTTTATTATAGATGGAGAGTAGTAGTGGCAGTGTGTCGCAAGTCCTCGTGTTTTAAGGACCCCAGGCATTGAAGCATTGAAGTCTTATAATAAAAATATTTTCAGGTTCAAATTGGAGATATTGAATCATATGTTCGTTGCCTGTGAGAAATTTGTGGCAGCTTCAACTTGTCAATATTACAGCTAATATATATTTTGTATGCAACGAATTACTTTTGTAACATTAGGAAAGTTTTGAAACATTTCAAAATATGGAAACGTACGGTAAAATGCATATCATTTGGGTATAAAAATCCTTCGGCGACTTAACGACGCAAAATTTTTAGTCAAAATCTTGAGGTTGACACACAATAAAACAAGTTAAAAGAATTTCAGAAAAACCTAATACAATAGGAGAAATGACTTTGACTCCAAAATCCCCGTCTTTATCTGATATAAGTTTAGTTTTATTTTACACAATTTTAGTCCATTTTGCCAAGGAAACGTTAAATAAAGACAACGAATATTCAAAACAAATCAAATTGATTATTAATACCTTACTTTCTCTGCACCAAGCACTTGCATAGGCCGCCAAAATAAATAAGCAGATGTCGGACTCAGTAGATTGATGCGCAGCTTATACTCCGGTTCACTTGGTTTCCGATCAATAGATGGACTGTCATCATTTTTATCGAGTGGCGGATCGGTTCGATCTATGGGTGGCTGCTTATCCGTGGGCGTTTTGTCACTTGGTTCTCGATCCGTGGATGTTTTGTCACCTAGTTGTCCATCGGTTGGAGTTACGTCACCTGCCTGCGGATCTGTGGGAGATTTGTCACCCGGTTGTCCATCGGTTGGAATTCTTTCACCTGCCTGCGGATCTGAGGGAGATTTGTCACCCGGTTGTCCATCGGTTGGAGTTATGTCACCTGCCTGCGGATCCGCGGGAGACTTTTCACCTGTCAGCGTTTCGTTACCAGGCTTTTGGTCCGCGGAAGATTTATCACCTGGTTGTCCATCGGTTGTAGTTCTGTCACTTGGCTGCCGATCCGCGGGTAATTTTTCACCTGGTTGTCCATCGGTTGGAGTTCTGTCACCTGGTTGTCCATCGGTTGCAATTCTGTCACCTGGTTGTCCATCGGCTGGAGTTCTGTCACCTGGTTGTCCATCGGTTGGAGTTCTGTCACCTGGTTGTCCATCGGTTGGAGTTCTGTCACCTGGTTGTTCATCGGTTAGAGTTCTGTCACCTGGCTTCCGATCCGCGGAAGATTTGTCACCTGGTTGTCCATCGGTTGTAGTTCCGTCACCTGGCTGCCGATCCGCGGGAGATTTTTCACCTGGTTGTCCATCGGTTGGAGTTCTGTCACATGGTTGTCCATCGGTTGGAGTTCTGTCATCTGGTTGTCCATCGGTTTGAGTTCTGTCACCTGGTTTCCGATCCACGGGAGATTTTTCACCTGGTTGTCCATCGGTTGTAGTTCCGTCACCTGGCTGCCGATCCGCGGGAGATTTTTCACCTGGTTGTCCATCGGTTGGAGTTCTGTCACCTGGTTGTCCATCGGTTGGAGTTCTGTCATCTGGTTGTCCATCGGTTTGAGTTCTGTCACCTGGTTTCCGATCCACGGGAGATTTTTCATCTGGTTGTCCATCGGTTGGAGTTCTGTCACCTACTTGTCCATCGGTTTGAGTTCTTTCACCTGGCTTCCGATCCACGGGAGATTTGTCACCTGGTTGTCCATCGGTTGTAGTTCTGTCACCTGGCTGCCGATCCACGGTAGATTTTTCACCTGGTTGTCCATCGGTTGGAGTTTGAGTTCTGTCACCTGGCTTCCGATCCACGGGAGATTTTTCACCTGGTTGTCCAACCGTGGGAGATTTTTCACCTGGTTGGCCATCGGTTGTGGTTTTGTCACCTGGTTGTCCATCCGTGGGAGATTTTTTACCTGGTTGGCTACTGGTTGTAGTTTTGTCACCTGGCTTCCGATTCACGGGAGATTCTTCACCTGGTTGTCCATCGGTTGGAGTTCTGTCACCTGGTTGTCCATCGGTTTGAGTTCTGTCACCTGGCTTCCGATCCACGGGAGATTTATCACCTGGTTGTCCATCGGTTGTAGCTCTGTCACCTGGCTGCCGATCCGCGGGAGATTTGTCATCTGTCAGTGTTTTGTTACCTGTTCGTTGATCGTCATTTTCGTTGTCATCTGTTGTTTCTTCTTCCTCTTCGACTTCCTCAGTGATATCAACAGTTTTAGATCCGGGCCTTCTTTTTATGGCAACTTTTGCTCTTTTGCTTTTCTTGTTATCTGAAATTTCAGTTAATATTTCAATTCTATTTTTTCCAAGTCTATCGTGGATCATATCAGGAAGTCATGTCCTCGTATACTTTACCTCTCAATGTTGTAAACCTTGCTACAGCTTTTACTCTCTCAGGAATTTCTACTTCAAATGTGTTTGTTGCTCTATCCAGAATCCTTGTCAGAGCGGACTTTCTATCTTTAGGTATGACGAATCTTAAAACATGGTACATAATAGTAGACATGCAGAGGATCAATACTAGAACGACACAAGGCAATCTTTGTGATTAGATGAATGTTTAGCAATATCTATATTTCTAGATAATTTAGTTTCTCGTACTCAGCTTTATATCCGCTTCTACGTCCGTTTGGATGAGACCATTGCACTCGGTAATTGTCTCCTTCTATTTGATTGATTTGGATGTCTCGTGGTGGCGTTGGCCCTGTAGGAATGCAGAAAAACAAACATATACAATGTTACAAAGTTTCGAGTGGATATAGAAATTGAAAGAATCATCTTGGAAAATAGTTGTCACGTATGCCAAGTTGAAAGAAACTTAATTCCCTTTTAGATACAATTGGCAAATTATTTTATGTGAAACAAAAGTAAGCTGTGGTAGTCAAAGAGCAGGGATCTATATACCGTGGTTATGTCTCTTGAAGAATTATATATGCCGAATAATTCAGTAGAATAGGTAAGTTTGTAGCTAAATTTGTCATGTGGTCTTACTTGTAAGGAACCTTGTAACTGATGTTTCACTCGTATCTTCATTTTCCTCGGCTGTCACCTCAACTCGGTATTTAGTTCCAGGTGTTAAATCTTCATACAAGAAAAAAAATGAAATATTTTCTCACAAATTGAACGATTTTAGTAGCCACAAATTATTGCTTATATACATATATTGGACTTCAAAATCCTGATTTTTAGAATGAAAGCACAGTTTTTGTGAAAATGCACTAAAAAGCGTTGAAACAAGTTCACACTAGGAAGGAAAAACCTTTCACCTTTTATTAAAACATTTCCGGGCCTCCCAGGATCTGGCCTTGAAGTTAACTCCGCGATTCTAATTGACTCTGGATCTTCTTCAAACACGATAATTCGATGAATATAAGAAAGTTTTTGTTTTTGCCATCCGAGTCTTGCGCTTTTGGTCCCAGTGTATGTAACTGATTTCAAAATTGGAGTTGGAAGCTTGGTCTGCGTAAAGAAGAAACGGTACAAATATTTTCTGGTAGAGATAATGATGAGAATTAAATCTTATGTAAATTCAGTTTTCATTAGGTGTCCGGATTAAATACGCCAAATATGACTTGGGAATTTGACGAAAATTACACTCATTTTCATTTCGTCAAACAGCCCCTCGTATACTGCCAGTTGATATTTAATGCTTGTGGTATATTTACATCAAATCAAAGCTATATCACCTTGAACTGAATATCGTCCAAAATCCGTTCTACTCCCGAAGGACTTAATCTAACACTCAGAGTTGCGTGATATCTAGTTGCTGGAAGTAGGAACGGTAAATATATGCTATTGTTTCCTGCTTTTGGGTATCTTGTTCTCGCACCTCCAGTACTTCCGTCAAATTGAATTACTGCAATTTGGACTAGATATCTGATCAAAATAATAAATAATTGATAAATAATATACATAAACACGTTATTATTACAATTATTTTGAGAGATAGATATAGACTCGCATCTGTATAAAATGCGGATGGACATTTGACATGAAAATTGAACACTTAAAAACGCGAAAGTTAGGTCGCAGATCGCTAGTAAGACAGAATATTTCAGCTTTATCCCGAGAGATAAACCTTATCAATGTAGTTTACAATTACCCCCGAATGCTTTACCTAATTTCTTGATCCGAAGGGAAGTCAGTAGAGTCCCAGAATAACTCAGCTGCTGTAGGAGAGAGCAGTCTAACGCGAAGTTTTTTCTGTGGCAACTTAGTCATTATAGTGGTCGAAGTTGGTCTTGTGGTAGTTACACGGTTTTGTTCACGACTAGAATGTGTAGGGTCCACTTCATTTTCAGATTCTCGATTTCTGTCACCTCGCTGCCGATCTGCGGGAGATTTTTCACCTGGTTGTCCATCGGTTGTAGTTCTGTCACCTGGCTGCCGATCCGCGGGAGATTTTTCACCTGGTTGTCCGTCCGTTGGAGTTCTGTCACCTGGTTGTCCATCGGTTGGAGTTCTGTCACCTGGTTGCCCATCGGTTGGAGGTCTGTCACCTGGCTGCCGATCCGCGGGAGATTTTTCATCTGGTTGTTCATCGGTTGGAGTTCTGTCACCTGGTTGTCCATCGGTTGGAGTTCTGTCACCTGGTTGTCCATCGGTTGGAGTTCTGTCACCTTGTTGTTCACCGGTTGAAGTTCTGTCAACTGGTTGTCCATCGGTTGGAGATCTGTCACCTAGTTGTCCATCGGTTGGGGTTCTGTCACCTTGCTGACGATCCGCGGGAGATTTTTCACCTGGTTGTCCATCGGTTGGAGTTTTGTCACCTGGTTGTCCATCGGTTGGGGTTCGGTCACCTGGTTGTCCATCGGTTGGAGTTCTGTCACCTGGTTGTCCATCGGTTGGAGTTCTGTCACCTTGTTGTTCACCGGTTGAAGTTCTGTCACCTGGTTGTCCATCGGTTGGAGTTCTGTCACCTAGTTGTCCATCGGTTGGGGTTCTGTCACCTTGCTGCCGATCCGCGGGAGATTTTTCACCTGGTTGTCCATCGGTTGGAGTTTTTTCACCTGGTTGTCCATCGGTTGGGGTTCGGTCACCTGGTTGGCCATCGGTTGGAGTTCTGTCACCTGGTTGTCCATCGGTTGGAGTTCTGTCTTCTGGCTGCCGATCCGCGGGAGATTTTTCACCTGGTTGTCCATCGGTTGGAGTTTTGTCACCTGGTTGTCCATCGGTTGGGGTTCGGTCACCTGGTTGTCCATCGGTTGGAGTTCTGTCACCTGGTTGTTCATCGGTTGGAGTTCTTTCTTCTGGCTGTCGATTCGAGGTAGATTTGTCATCTGTCAGCGTTTTGTTACCTCTTTGTCGATCGCCAGTTCCGTTATCATCTGTTCTTTCTTCTTCTTCTTCTTCTTCTTCTTCTTCTTCTTCTTCTTCTTCTTCGATTTCCTCAGTGATATCAACAGTTTTAGAACCGGGCTTTCTTTTTATGGCAACTCTTACTCGTTTGCTTTTTTTGTCATCTGAAATTGCAGGTAATATTTTAGTTGTATTTTTTCCAAGTCAATCGTCGATCATATCAGGAAGTCATGTCCTCGTATCATACTTTACCTCTCAATGTTGTAAACCTCGCTACAGCTTTCACTCTCTCAGGAATTTCTACTTCAAATGTGTTTGCTGTTCTTTCCAGAACCCTTGTCAGAGCGGACTTTCTATCTTTAGGTATGACGAATCTTAAAACATAATACATAATAGTAGACATGCAGAGGATCAATATTAGAACGACACAAGGCAATCTTTGTGACTAGATGAATGTTCAGCAATTTCTATATTTCTAGATAATTTAGTTCCTCATACTCAGCTTTATATCCGCTTCTACGTCCGTATGGATGAGTCCATTGCACTCGGTAATTGTCCCCTTCTATTTGATTGATTTGGATGTTTCGTGGGGGCATTGGCCCTGTAGGAATGCAGAAAAGCAAACATATACAATGTTACGAAGTTTTCGAGTGAATATAGAAATTGAAAGAATCATCTTGGAAAATAGTTGTCACGTATGCCAAGTTGAAAGAAACTCAATTCCCTTGTGAATGCACTTAGCAAAATATTTTATGTAAAACAAAAGTAAGCTGTGGTAGTCAAAGAGCAGAGACCTATACACCGTGGTTTTGTCTCTTGAAGAATTATATATGCCGAATAATTCAGTAGTATAATTAGTTTGTAGCTAAATTTGTTATATGGTCTTACTTGTAATGAACCTTGTAACTGATGTTTCACTCGTATCTTCATTTTCCTCGGCTGTCACCTCAACTCGGTATTTAGTTCCAGGTGTTAAATCTTCATATAAGAAAAAAAATGAAATATTTTCTCAGAAATTGAACGATTTTAGTAGCCACAAATTATTGCTTATATACATATATTAAACTTCAAAATCCTGATTTTTAGAATGAGAGCACAGTTTTTTTCAAAATGCACTGAAAAGCGTTGAAACAAGTTCACACTAGAACGGGAAAACATTTCACCTTTTATTAAAACATTTCCGGGCCTCCCAGGATCTGGCCTTGAAGTTAACTCCGCGATTCTAATTGACTCTGGATCTTCTTCAAACACGATAATTCGATGAATATAAGAAAGTTTTTGTTTTTGCCATCCGAGTCTTGCGCTTTGGGTCCCAGTGTATGTAACTGATTTCAAAATTGGAGTTGGAAGCTTGGTCTGCGTAAAGAAGAAACGGTACAAATATTTTCTGGTAGAGATAATGATGAGAATTAAATCTTATGTAAATTCAGTTTTCATTAGGTGTCCGGATTAAATACGCCAAATATGACTTGGGAATTGGACGAAAATTACAGTCATTTTCATTTCGTCAAACAGCCCCTCGTTTACTGCCAGTTGATATTTAATGCTTGTGGTATATTTACATTAAATCAAACCTATATCACCTTGAACTGAATATCGTCCAAAATCCGTTCTACTCCCGAAGGACTTAATCTAACACTCAGAGTTGCGTGATATCTAGTTGCTGGAAGTAGGAACGGTAAATATATGCTATTGTTTCCTGCTTTTGGGTATCTTGTTCTCGCACCTCCAGTACTTCCGTCAAATTGAATTACTGCAATTTGGACTAGATATCTGATCAAAATAAAAAATAATTGATAAATAATATACATAAACACTTTTTATTACAATTATTTTGGGAGATAGATATAGACTCACATCTGTATAAAATGCGGATGGACATTTGACATACAATTGAACACTTAAAAACGCGAAAGTTAGGTCGCAGATCGCTAGTAAGACAGAATATTTCAGCTTTATCCCGAGAGATAAACCTTATCAATGTAGTTTACAATTACCCCCGAACGCTTTACCTAATTTCTTGATCCGAAGGGAAGTCAGTAGAGTCCCAGAATAACTCAGCTGCAGTAGGAGAGAGCAGTCTAACGCGAAGTTTTTTCTGTGGCAACTTAGTCATTACAGTGGTCGAAGTTGGTCTTGGGCTAGTTACACGGTTTTGTTCACGACTAGAATGTGTAGGGTCCACTTCATTTTCAGATTCTCGATTTCTGTCACCTCGCTGCCGATCTGCGGGAGATTTTTCACCTGGTTGTCCATCGGTTGTAGTTCTGTCACCTGGCTGCCGATCCGCGGGAAATTTTTCACCTGGTTGTCCGTCCGTTGGAGTTCTGTCACCTGGTTGTCCATCGGTTGGAGTTCTGTCACCTGGTTGTCCATCGGTTGGAGGTCTGTCACCTGGCTGCCGATCCGCGGGAGATTTTTCACCTGGTTGTCCATCGGTTGGAGTTCTGTCACCTGGTTGTCCATCGGTTGGAGTTCTGTCACCTGGTTGTCCATCGGTTGGAGTTCTGTCACCTGGTTGTCCATCGGTTGGAGTTCTGTCATCTGGTTGTCCATCGCTTGGAATTCTGTCACCTTGTTGTTCACCGGTTGAAGTTCTGTCAACTGGTTGTCCATCGGTTGGAGTTCTGTCGCCTAGTTGTCCATCGGTTGGGGTTCTGTCACCTTGCTGACGATCCGCGGGAGAATTTTCACCTGGTTGTCCATCGGTTGGAGTTTTGTCACCTGGTTTTCCATCGGTTGGGGTTCGGTCACCTGGTTGTCCATCGGTTGGAGTTCTGTCACCTTGTTGTTCACCGGTTGAAGTTCTGTCACCTGGTTGTCCATCGGTTGGAGTTCTGTCACCTAGTTGTCCATCGGTTGGGGTTCTGTCACCTTGCTGACGATCCGCGGGAGATTTTTCACCTGGTTGTCCATCGGTTGGAGTTTTGTCACCTGGTTGTCCATCGGTTGGGGTTCGGTCACCTGGTTGTCCATCGGTTGGAGTTCTGTCACCTGGTTGTCCATCGGCTGGAGTTCTGTCACCTTGTTGTTCACCGGTTGAAGTTCTGTCACCTGGTTGTCCATCGGTTGGAGTTCTGTCACCTAGTTGTCCATCGGTTGGGGTTCTGTCACCTTGCTGCCGATCCGCGGGATTTTTTTTACCTGGTTGTCCATCGGTTGGAGTTTTTTCACCTGGTTGTCCATCGGTTGGGGTTCGGTCACCTGGTTGGCCATCGGTTGGAGTTCTGTCACCTGGTTGTCCATCGGTTGGAGTTCTGTCACCTAGTTGTCCATCGGTTGGAGTTCTGTCACCTGGTTGTCCATCGGTTGGAGTTTTGTCACCTGGTTGTCCATCGGTTGGGGTTCGGTCACCTGGTTGTCCATCGGTTGGAGTTCTGTCACCTGGTTGTCCATCGGTTGGAGTTCTGTCACCTTGTTGTTCACCGGTTGAAGTTCTGTCACTTGGTTGTCCATCGGTTGGAGTTCTGTCACCTAGTTGTCCATCGGTTGGGGTTCTGTCACCTTGCTGCCGATCCGCGGGAGATTTTTCACCTGGTTGTCCATCGGTTGGAGTTTTTTCCCCTGGTTGTCCATCGGTTGGGGTTCGGTCACCTGGTTGGCCATCGGTTGGAGTTCTGTCACCTGGTTGTCCATCGGTTGGAGTTCTGTCTTCTGGCTGCCGATCCGCGGGAGATTTTTCACCTGGTTGTCCATCGGTTGGAGTTTTGTCACCTGGTTGTCCATCGGTTGGGGTTCGGTCACCTGGTTGTCCATCGGTTGGAGTTCTGTCACCTGGTTGTTCATCGGTTGGAGTTCTTTCTTCTGGCTGTCGATCCGAGGTAGATTTGTCATCTGTCAGCGTTTTGTTACCTCTTTGTCGATCGCCAGTTCCGTTATCATCTGTTCTTTCTTCTTCTTCTTCTTCGATTTTCTCAGTGATATCAACAGTTTTAGAACCGGGCTTTCTTTTTATGGCAACTCTTACTCGTTTGCTTTTTTTGTCATCTGAAATTGCAGGTAATATTTTAGTTGTATTTTTTCCAAGTCAATCGTCGATCATATCAGGAAGTCATGTCCTCGTATCATACTTTACCTCTCAATGTTGTAAACCTCGCTACAGCTTTCACTCTCTCAGGAATTTCTACTTCAAATGTGTTTGTTGTTCTTTCCAGAACCCTTGTCAGAGCGGACTTTCTATCTTTAGGTATGACGAATCTTAAAACATAATACATAATAGTAGACATGCAGAGGATCAATATTAGAACGACACAAGGCAATCTTTGTGACTAGATGAATGTTCAGCAATTTCTATATTTCTGGATAATTTAGTTTCTCGTACTCAGCTTTATATCCGCTTCTACGTCCGTATGGATGAGCCCATTGCACTCGGTATTTGTCTCCTTCTATTTGATTGATTTGGATGTCTCGTGGTGGCATTGGCCCTGTAGGAATGCAGAAACGCAAACATATACAATGTTAGGAAGTATTCGAGTGGATATAGAATTTGAAAGAATCATCTTTGAAAATAGTTGTCACGTATGCCAAGTTGAATGAAACTCAATTCCCTTGTGTATACAGTTGGCAAATTATTTCATGTAAAACAAAAGGGGGCTAGTTTACTAAACGCCGTCAAGTACTTCTAGTTGGCGTGGCATCACCATTTTTGCATATGTCATTTCTAACCCCCACCTAACTACGGAATCCAAAAATTACGTCACTACAACGCCACGGTGACGAAATAGGGCCCGTCAAAGTATACGGATGGCCGTACAAACCGCGCAGACGATCGACCGAAATCCATCGTAGATTTTCTTAGAAAGCTCTATGACGTAGTTGTGACGTCGTGTTGACGTTATTTTTGGATGACATATCCTGGTGGGGGTTGGGAACAACATGCGCCATCTCTGTGCGCATACTTCAGGAGGTCCAAAAAAGGTTTGTGCCACGTCAAGTAGAAGTGCTTTCGGCGTTTAGTGGACATGCGCCAACAAAAGTAGGTTGTGGCAGTCAAAGAGCAGGGACCTATATACATACCGTGGTTTTCATTCAGTAGAATAGTTAAGTTTGTAGCTAAATTTGTCATATGATCTCACTTGTAATGAACCTTGTAACTGATGTTTCACTCGTATCTTCATTTTCCTCGGCTGTCACCTCAACTCGGTATTTAGTTCCAGGTGTTAAATCTTCATATAGGAAAAAAATGAACTATTTTCACACAAATTGAACGATTTTCGTAGCCTCAAATTATCGCTTATATACATATATTGAACTTCAAAATCCTGGTTTTATGAACAAAAGCACAGCTTTTGTGAAAATGCACTGAAAAGCGTTGAAACAAGTTCACACTAGGAAGGGAAAACATTTCACCTTTTATTAAAACATTTCCGGGCCTCCCAGGATCTGGCCTTGAAGTTAACTCCGCGATTCTAATTGACTCTGGATCTTCTTCAAACACGATAATTCGATGAATATAAGAAAATTTTTGTTTTTGCCATCCAAGTCTTGCGCTTTGGGTCCCAGTGTATGTAACTAATTTCAAAATTGGAGTTGGAAGCTTGGTCTGCGTAAAGAAGAAACGGTACAAATAGTAAAGATGACGATGAGAATTAAATGTTATGTAAATTCAGTTTTCATTATGACTCAGAAGTTTGATGAAAAATACGGTCATTTTCATTTTGTCAAACAGGCCCTCATTTACCTCCAGTTGATATTTAATGCTTGTGGTATATTTACATGAAATCAAACCTATATCACCTTGAACTGAATATCGTCCACAATCCGTTCTACTCCCGAAGGACTCAATATAGCACTGAGAGTTGCGTGATATCTAGTTGCTGGAAGTAGGAACGGTAAATATATGCTATTGTTTCCTGCTTTTGGATATCTTGTTTTTGCACCTCCGGTACTTCCGTCAAATTGAATTACTGCAATTTGGACTAGATATCTGATCAAAATAAAAGTTAATTGATAAATAATATACAGAAACACGATATTACAAGTTTTTTGTGAGATATATAAAGACTCGCTTGTGTAATAAATGCGAATGGACAATGGACAAAAATATTAACATTTAAAAACGCGTATGGTTAGGTCGCAGGTCGTTAGTAGGACAGAATATTTCAGTTTTATCCCGAGGTATATACCATATACATGTAATTTACAAATGCTTTACCTAATTTCTTGATCCGAAGGAAAGTCAGTAGAGTCCCAGAACAACTGAGCTGCAGTAGGAGAGAGCAGTCTAACGCGAAGTTTTTTCTGTGGCAACGTAGTCATTACAGTGGTCGAATTTGGTCTTGGGGTAGTTAAACGATTTTGTTCACGACTAGAATGTGCAGGGTCTGCTTCCCCTTCCCCAGATTCTCGATTTCTTTCGTGATCAAGGCTTTTATCGAGGTCACGGTCTTTCTCTTTCTCATCTCCTGGCCTATGATACAAAACAGGATTCTCTTGTTATGAAATAATCTTCAATAAAATTTATTTTATTGCTTTACTTACTCGTCTTCTTCTTCAATTTCTTCTAGATCAACCTCTGGAGAACCTGCCCTTCTTCTAAACGAAACCTTCTTTTTCTTACTTTGCTTGTTATCTTCAATTGAAGAAATGTGATTGTAAAGGAAAGAATATTATTCAGCTGTTACTTCGAGAAAATTTACATACCTCGTATTGTAACCATATCCACAACAGCTTTAGACCCCGTCGGTATTATGATATTCAGAGTATTTGTTGCTTTTGCTAAGTTGTATTCTCTGTCAGAGGATCTGTCTCCGACTATGTAGAATCTGAAATGTTTATTACTCCATCTTGTCAATAAATCAAGATTCTGCAATTTATCTTTTACATCTCCCAGACGAACATTATAGTTAGCTTTCTCCAAATCCTAATAAATTGTGATTAGTTGAGTAAATTTGAATTTGCCTTGCATCAAATTAGATTAGCAATAAACCTTGCGTTATTAATTTACCTTGCTTTATAACCACTTCTGCGACCAGTTGTTGAATGATTCCACCTCACCCTGAAGACGTCATTTTCGGTATTACTTATCGAAAAACCATGAGGCGGCATCGGTCCTGAATTATTATATTTGGTAATATGTATTTCGCATAAGCATGAAATTGGGCCATGTTACGTGGAAAAATTTATTTATTGACATACTTGTAATAAATCTGATTGTGGAAGTTTCACTCCGATCTCCATCACTGTCAGCAGTTACTTCGGCGCGGTATTTGGTGCCAGGTGTCAAATCTGGAATGTAGACAATTGTAGAAGGCTGATTTACATATCTCACAAACCATTGTATGTTGAGGCAGGGTAATTTGGATCATTTTTGACACGACGTGGACATATTATGTTGATCGTTTACTAAATTGTTGTTGTTGTCAGGGCGAGTTTTTGGAGCATAAATATGTCTCTTCTACGTTACTAATGCACTGATCGACTTTTCTTAAGCATGTGAGTAGTCGCCAGAAGGTTATTAATATATATAATTATTTTCTTAATTACCTCGAAATCCTATCAGACCCAATTATTCACCCAAATTTCGCTATTTAATTTTAATTCACGAGCTTTTATTCCGTCAAGCGTGAACGCCTACGTCACGGCTGCCTGTCGTTTTAATTTTGCGAACTCGGTGCTCAGCCAGAATTTCGAGTGAATCGCATAAACTAGTCTGCAGTTGGACCTACGTGTCAATATATATAAGCATTTTGTTTATATTTCAGAGCCAATATGTATATATTTTACCAGAAACAATCGCTTGTTTTGTGCTTCCAGCGTCAGGAACTTCCATTTCTTTAATTGCCGCATTTGGGTCCGATTCAGTTTCATCCTCATACACAACTATGCGGTGATTGAATGTCGATTTCTGTTTTACCCATTCGATTCTGGCATCATGTGTTCCAGTATAAGTTATAGGCTTTAAATCCGGTGCGAGAAGTTTCGACTGAACAAATATTTGGTTAAATATCTGGCAACTGTTGTGAAGACGATAGACTACCGTTAGATTTTTAACAGATTTGTAGTTACATTTGATGGACATTTTGTTACCTTGAACGTGACTTTTCCAAGTTCTATCTTCTCTCCCGTGGGATGTATTTGTGCTCTCAATGTAGCTTGGTATTTTGTGGCTGGTGATAACCAGTTAAAATATATCTCATTTTCTCCACGGCCTGGATATCGTATCCTACTTCCTCCGTTTGTTAGGTCAAGCACATGAATAGTATATCTTAATATAAAAATGAAACACTATTGAACTCAAATAATTATTTAAACTTAATTTCAGCAAATAAAATAATTAATAAAAAACCTGATACGTTGGTTTGATGGAATGTCATGCGGTTGCCAAAAAAGTCTCACTGATCGATGGGTCACATCAGTATATCTGAAATTAGCGGTTTCATCCTCAGGTGTGGTATCAGAATCGTCACGAAAAGCTGGCAACGTTACTACATCTGGTTCCGTTACTTCGTCTGTTGTGACTGGCAGATTGATGTCCGATGTGGTTGGGTCGATGTTGATACTGTGGACAATTGAAGATAAACTTCAAAGTGGAGCAACGTAAAACAATCGGTGACCGTACATTTGAACCCACGTACATTCGAACCCATGTGTATATCCGCGGGTTCAATCTTTATGCGGGTGCTAAAACCCAGGGGTTAGGGTTAGTATGAGTTCAAATATCCGTAAAACAAAAAAAAATCCATAGGTGAAATAGTATGCAGGTGCAATTGTTGTGGGTTCAAATGTACGTGGGTTCAAATGTACAAGAACCAATACAATCACCTAAAAATGCAGTATACTACAGGTAACACAAATATTATTGAACGTTTTTCTTACTCGTCTTTCTTTATCCCGATCTCAACTATGTTCGATCCAAGTCTTCTTCTGTAACGGAACTTTTTAATTTTGCTCTTTTTCGATTCTGCGAGTATCAAGAGCAGTGTTTTTTAACTGCCATTGTTGCTTTATGAGTGATTATTGCTTGCTATTTTCTACCAGCAAATACCAACCAAGAGTAATAGTAATCACGTTACAGGTGATAAATTATTGGTTCAGTCATACTGTCAGTCTATGGGCAACTTCAAATGGGATATTAGGTGAGCTAAATGAAATCAACCGCAGTGTCTCTGGCAGTGTTCAGTACTAGTTCTAAACTCCGAGTCGGGTTTCAAGTCGAAACACAAGCTATCTATTTCGAGTCCCGAGTCGAATTAATACTCTTACGAGTCTGAGTTAAAGTAGATTTTATAAACAACAGGAAAATGGATAAATATGAGTGAATGACATTTAAATTTCGATAAACGCGTTCAATCGACGTTAATTTGAAAATCAAACTAGGATTTAATCCTGAATCAACAAATTCGGCATTATTTTGAGTTTTTTCTCCGGTTAACTATTAAATTTTTGAATTTTGCTAAATCATTAATTGACGTGGCAATTTTTTTTATATTTCAAAGACTCGCTAAATTATCTCCTAGTCCCAAGTCACGTTTCACTGGCAGTTAGAAGACTCAATCTTATTTTAGTCGCTTCGGTTCGGGAAAGTTGCATGTGAATGGTGAATATACCGAAACAGCGTAGGAGTAGAAGTATTGTGTTACCTCGCAACGTGGTGAAAGCAAAGAATCCAGAAGTTTCCTCCGGAACAGTAACTTGCAATCTATTATCATCTTCGCCGAAATCGAAATTCCGATTTTTAGTTGAATCGCCAAGGTTGGAAAACCTGAATGAGACAAAGGCAAATATAAGCAATACTTTTGTGCGATTTGAATTGTTAATATATTAATGCCAAAATGTTAAAATGTTTTCACATTTTTGTACTAGACCATTTGTTGATATCTCATCATATATATAACTTGGCGCGAAACTTCTGTGAACAATCAGCTGATTATTGGTTGAAATAGCTGCTATCTGAACACCACAGCGCTTGTGGATGTAGATAAATAAGAATTGAATATACTTCCTGGGTCAGGATAGATATACAATTTCTGGCAGATATTTAGAGTAAACTTGGAAAGTTAGATTCACGAAAAATCACCGTTCAGGAGCATAGGGACTAGTAAAAATACTACATTGTGGAGAAATGCATAATACTTACTTTGCTTGATATCCACTTCTTCCGCCGTACTGATGTTCCCAAGTTAATTCATATTCATCTCCAGCGATTCGTCTAACTCGAAATCCAGCAGGAGGAAGTGGATCTGAAAATTGTTCAAATAACCTTGAAAGACCACGAGACACAAAAAATTGTATTTTTACAATACATTGCATAATTTCAACTCACTTGTGATAAATCTGACAACAGAAGGTTTGCTAACATCATCGGCATATTCTGTGGTAACTTCGGCTCGATATCGTGTACCGGGCTTCAGATCTGTACGAATAGACATGTTTTTTAGTAAATTGCTTCAATAAGAATGCAATTTTGTTCATTTGTATCATGACTGAAATTCGTTTTTATAACGATTTTACCATACTATGGCAATAGGAAATCCTTCTGAAAAATCCTAGGAGATTACGAAAGTTGTTTATACACGGTGACCTCAAAAACAAAACACATAAATTTCTCAATTATTTATACGAAAACGAAGAAAATTTATTGAACACTTGAACTACTGTTTGTGTATAATTATATAAAAGTTTCAGTAATCTAGGACACCTTGCATAAAAGTTATATTCTGTCTGAAATATGTTCCAAATTACCTAGGTTCTGTTTTTTTTTGGTTGGCCTGTATCTCAACAATTAAGTGCCACCCTTAATTTTTGTTTATACTCCCGACTCGTACTATACCTAACTACCTTTGTCAAACTTGATGTTTACATCGATTTAAGAAACAAATACCGACTTCTTCTCATTCCGACTTCTTAAGTTCTAATAAACCTAATTTTATTTATAGCTACCGTAAAGCAGGGCTTTTAATTCTTTATTCGCTTTGTTGACTTTCTTCTGTACTACGGCATCATTATCTGAGTCGATTTCATCTTCAATTATATTGATGATATAAGTATATGAAAACCTTGGCTTCCTCCACTGTATAGTTGCGGTGTAAGGCCCAGTAGTTGTGACCGGTTTTAGTACCGGAGACGGTAGTTTCGACTATAACATATTGTTATCAATATCATAATTAGACTAATGAATCTATATGTACTGAACGTTCTATTATCGGATTTCAATATTTGGTACATGATTCAAATATTCAACAACGAATCTAGTCGTGAATTATTGGAATTATTTTTTGATTCAATAAAAACTATAATAAAACAGCCATGGCCTTGAGGACCCAAGTCTAACACATTTTTTTTGGCTTGCCATAACGAAACGTCTTCTAAAATTGTCACAATTGATAAAAAGATTTAAATATTTAAACAGGGAAATTACTGTAATCAATTGATATTTGTTCCTAGAGAGAATGTATCTTACTAGTTTATTGTATATAAACCTTGTATTTTTTCTATTGTTTTACAGTTTCAAAGAATGTTAAACTTGCAAAGTCATCTCTTACCACAAAGTTTGTTTTATCTAGGGTGATCTCGTCTCCGTCTTCAACCTGTGCTATCAATGTTGCTTGGTAAGTAGTAGATGGTTCTAACCAGGTTATGTTCAATTGATATTGCCAGGCGCTAACTGTTAACGTTCTTCCACGACCAATGGAACCATCCGAGAGTACCAATGCAAGGATAATCTTGTATCTGCAATGAAGGGAATTGTGGTTATTTTTTCAACAATATAATTTTTTTTGACAATACTGTCTTTAAGATATTGTAGGCTACTGCGAAATATAGCGCACCTTATGCGCCAACACGCCTTTACTACGCTGAAGTCGGCCTGCTAAGGTTTATTGCTCTTCAAGAAATTTCCAAGTTTTATGAGAGTTTCGGGTAGACTGATCTGACATAACTTATCCGTATAATAAATATATAATAAAACATTCACCTGACGTTTTTATCTCCTGCAGCCTCATATTTATTCCAAGTTAATAGCACGAAATGATCCGTTAATTGTCCAATATTTAATTTAGACCCTTTTTTGTCTTCACCGTTGGTATCCACATCTGTAAGAGGCGGTATTGATGTACCTAAATACGTATGTAGCATTTTTATCCATCTAAGCAAATTAATTATACATACCATATTTTGTATATATTGCATGGATAGATAGATGTTTTATATTTCATAATTTACCACACAGACTCCAGTATTCAGTCGTATAAAAAAATAAAATCTATTAAAATCATGAAAAATACACAGTTGGATTCAAAAATTCTAAATGAACTGATCAGTTAGGATTCCGAAAATATTCTGTATTCAAATAACTGTTTATGCTTAAACCTCACCATCTTCGGTTTCGACGCGTATGTCTCCTCCATCGCTTGTTCCGAAATTTGCATATCCAATTTTTACAACTGGTTCACTTTCAATATTTTTAATTAATGATTTGGCCGAAACATGATAATATTGACGAGGTGTAAATCCTAAAAAGAAGTGACGGAATTAAAAGAAAATAGAGACATATAATAAGCAGTGATATACCAAGAAATATTTCTGATGTAAACAAGGGTGTAAACAAGTCACATGCTCAACTTACTGTTCAAAAAATTCACTATTTAAACCCATATAGTTACCTGTAATTTCTGCCGTGGTCTCTGCGACATCGAAGTAAGTTTGAGCCTTTGATTTTGAGTTGCTGTGATACACTCTGTACTTTTTAATTTTAAAATCATTAGGTGCTCTCCATTTCAACCTCATGACTCCATCGTCAGTAAAAGTGATTGTAAGATTTTCAGGTTGAGGAATGGCTGAATAAACATGCGTGATTATCAGTTATGCTTCCGAAAACCAATATTAGAAAACTAGTTCTGTACCTAAGTAATAGATTCACTAATGTACAAAGTAAAAAGTCACGGTAGTCAATTTCTATTATCATTTGTTGTGGAAACATTTTCAGCAGCTCTTTATAATTGACAGTAGACTAATTAACTACAGTATTCAAAATGTGAACACATGATAAACCTTATCGACTTTCGAATAACGCCTATGTTCAACAATGTTTCATTCATTTATATAGACACAGAATAATTGAAAACTAAAGTATCTTAAATAATAAATACTGCCTTTTACACCAGAAATTGTCAACATAGTGTAGTCGATACTTTTGATATAGTTGACTTCCCTTTATTTCATTGATTTTGGTTTGACGTAGTTCACATTATTCTGTAAATTTTTGTACATACAATCTTTTTCCATCCAAAGTATAAACTTACGCGTATACAATGCTTCTTGGGGAAACACTGGATCGCTGCGTTTATCATCTTTTTTCGCTATTAGAGTTGCACGATATGTTCGACCCGGCTGCAAACGAGGAATCACGATTGAGTTTGCAACAGTTGACACGTTCCGCACGCGGAGGCGATTACTTTCGTCGTAATATTGCACTGCAAGGAAACATAGATGGTTAACAAAAAAAGTGCTAACTAATGCATATACGGTTATTCAGTACTATAAGTTTATAAGAGTAATTTGTTCTTTCGCATAAACCGAACTTACATTCGTAAGTGGTTCCAGTTTCTCCTGGACTCCAAGCCAAATGTAATGATGTAGGGTTGGCACGTACAAGATGGAAGTTGATCGGTGTGCTCAATTCTAAAAAATGCATTCGTTCTAATAATTTTTTAGGCAAAGATAAAGAATTTTCAAACGTTTGGTATTACTTACTCTTTGTTGTACGAAGGTCAATATTCACATTTGAGCCATTTGATGACAGTGTTACTGATTCTTTTAAGCCAATTGCGTGTTCCGATGCGAATGAAGCTATAAACACATGTGTGGATCATTATAATTGTGAAACAACATAAAAATTAATATAAAGTCGTAGAAACTTAAACTAACGCAAATCGATCTCCAACGTGTCAACAACTCCAAGTTTATATCCACTCTCTTCGTATAGATCAATTCTATATCTTGAGTCACGTGGTAAATCAGGAATTATGACGTATGATTTGTCATCCTCAGCACGAACTTCACCCTGAATTTAATTCTAACGTTAGTGAATCCATACTTGAAACTTTGTGGGATTAAGCATAAAATGTGCTTTATACCTCATGCCCGTTCAAAGGCCAGAGTGGAGTATATGCAACAATGTATTCAACTTTTAAAGGACCGGCCGTCGGGTCTCCTGAAAGTCCGGCACTCACGCCAAGTCGGTTCCATGATACTTTTAGAGAGTTACCAGATATGACATCTGCTCTTAGATTCCGAGATCCAGTGGAAGTAACACTTGATTGTGTTTCTAAACCTGTAAATTGGTGAAATGTTGATTTGGCTGTGCAGAAGAAGACTTGAAAATAATAAAAAAATCGTATTTTGTCAATATCTTCCCATTCAAGTGTTGTTCGTTGAACAGGAATTATGAAAACGTGGATGTACTCTAAGAACTAGGTTGTAATAACTTTAAACTATGTGTAAACCATTTGCAACCGACAAAACGTTTTTTTGACACAAGGGATTTACGTTTATTGGACTTATATCCTATTCCTTACACACGTACTGAACTGTGCTGTATATAGCTCAAACAACAATGATTCAGAATAAGATTCATTGTAATGTTATTATGATGCAAAAGGAAGTTACGTATTACTATATACCGTCTGTAGTTGCGGAATATCCGGGCTCGGCAGTGATGCTACCTCCATAATTCAATTTGTGTGATGAACTGGAACTACTTCTTGTCCAAACTTTTGAGTTGTATCGAGGAAAGCCCGTAGTATGCGACGTTGAAGAAACTAAATAGCCAGTGAATGATTCATTTATAATTCAAACCTACGGAATAACACAAAGTATATAGTATTGAACATTATCTTACACGTAGAGACAGTGACTCTAGCAGGTGCGCTGTATCCGTTTTTGTGCTTGGCTATAATCTGTAGCAAATGAATATCAGATAAAGAAAGTCATAAATCGAAACTAAATAAGGAATGGAATTTTATATTAGGAAAAATGCTCTTACAACAATTACTGAGACGCTCGAAAGTATCCCAGGATGTTGCCCGAACGGCTAGATGTATTTATATAGTGAGAGCTCGGCCAAGAGGGAATGATCCCGAGTTGAATAATGGCCTACTTGAGATTGAGTGGTAAATATATCTCTTTAATTCAAAATTTACAAACTTACCACGACGGAATATTCTGTTTCTTTCGTCAGTCCTTCTATTACAAGAGAATCGTCGTTTGCCGATACTTCTGTCTCAAAATACCTGACGAATAAAAATGTGTACTATAAATAATGTCAGTCATGGCAATTACAGATGAGGTATTAACCGTCAAAAGGTTACGGTGATTCCGGTCATGCTATGAATAATTTGCCAGCGGCTTGTTAAGCAGCAGAACAATGTCTAAGGAACAGGGTATGTCACTCACCCGGTTGAACGTTGTATCTCTATAGCGTTTGGTAAATCAATATAAATATCATTCTTAAACTTAACTCTGAAACTGAGTCAACTTACGAAACATCCTCTATATCAGTTGGTTTGTATAAAATCTTGTAGTAACGTAACCCGGATTCCACTGAACTGTACGTCCACGTAATGGTGACCTGGTTTTCCGAAATTGCTTTCGCGCGAATGATGACAGGTGGGCGATAAATGGAAGCAAGGATCTCGCTGGGATCTTCTGCAACAACGATAAATTTGTAATTTTGTTCTATATTTATCTATTTTAAGATGGCACTATAGTTTTTACACAAGATAAATTTCAATTACATCCTAATTAGGCTAAGCTGCCCAAATGCGTTAATCATCCTATTAACTATCCTATCAAGCATTCACAAGTCAGACAATAGAGCGTCGTACACTCTTTTGGAGTGATTTTCTAGTCATTATAGCGCATAGTGTAGAGTTGTTGTCCTACGATATTTGTTAGGTACCCCCATTACCTTCGCCATCTTTCGTTCGAGTGAAGCATTTCTTGGGACCTATCAAAGGTTTTCCGTCGTATGCAGAATAAATTTCAATTTGGTAGACCGTGTTTGGTTCAAGTTCAACTAATCTTATACGATCGGAATCGCGGCCGACCTCGACTTTTTTCGGTCTTCCAAGAGATGATCGTTTCCCACCAACCGAAAAAGGAGCAAAAAATATCTTGTATCTGAACACAAGATATGTAATTAGTTACTTTAGCTTCGGCCATATTGAAATGTTACTTTTATTGAATCTCACCCAAGGAAAGATGATTCATCGGATACTTGACTCCAACCTATGTCCACAGTTGTGTCAGTAACATTGTACAGGAAAATGCTCTCAACCTCTTCACCGTAACTTTCTAGAAATTGTAATAAACAAAATATACAAACTATATTTCCGTAGAGAATATTTAAACAAATACGTAGCTCATAGAAATTGTTTATACCTTCGCTTCCACCTCCACCGAAGTTTATTCGGACAAATTCATCTAATTCCGCTTCTCCTAATGTCGCAAAATCTGTACCTTCATAATCAATCGGATCACTGAAAACAAATGATAGAATGTTCAAAACAAAATGAATTTTCTTTTGTTTTAATAATATTATGATCGTACAACAATGAATATACACCTTGTTATTTGTGAACCTCTTCCTGCTGAAATTGAGTAGTCTGGTCTCTTTTGTCGCCCGCTAGCAAAACCGTTAAAGTCATCGTGAAGTGATCTAGTCGTTCTTTTACTTTGTTGTGATTGGCGTTTGGTACTCCACTGGTTTAAAAACGCCCAGATTTTTTCGTCATAATTTCTTCCATACGAAAACTTGGTCGTTACTTCATTTGTCGTTGAAGAGACTGGTTCAGTGGCCATTGTTGTTACGTCGGTGGTGGGCGGGATTACAATTGGAAAGTCGCCCACGTCAACCCCCTTTTCTTCTATTACGTAATCCGGAACGTCAAATTCCGGGGTCACTTCTGTTTTCTCTGGTTGTTTTGGCAACTCGGTTTGAAAGTTATCTTGGGTTTCTCTGTTAGTCACATTGTTACCTATCACTGGCGCTGGTAAGTTTGACTCTACTCCGTGTGCTTCGTTGCTTGCGTCGTCGATGTCAATCCCCTCACCCAATTCCTCAAGCTCATCTTTGTGATCTCCATTAATATAATCTTTAGTGTCGATGGGTTTGATCGTCGTGGTTGGTTTTGCTGTTGTTGTTGAAGTAATGGTAGAAGTACTAGATTCCGATTCTTCGTAATCATATTCCTCATCGTCATATTCGCCACCGTAAAAGTACATTTCTTTGTCTGATTCTGGTTCAACAGTAACATCGGGGTACATATAGTCATCCAACGAAATTTCACTATTGGTACTAGACATGGTGGTACTGATGGTCGTTGCGTTTGTAGTTGTTGTGCCAATAGTGGTGGTACTAGTGGTGGAGGAAATCGTGGTTGTACTAGTTGAGATGGGAAATGGTGAAGTGGTTGTCAGTGCAACTGAAGATTCTCTGGGTGTGGGAGTCGTTGTAACGGCCGATGATCTTGGTACCGGTAGGATTGTTGGAGCAATTGCTTCTGGTACATAATCACCTTAAAATACAAATATAAAAATGGATTAAACAATACTGTGAAACAGAATAACAGATATTCCATATACAAACTTGCCTTTTATTTCAACATCTTTCGTTTGAAATTCAAATACAATCACATCATCGTCGTCTTCATCGGAATGTTCACTGGATAACGTTACTCGATAAGTGAATCCCGGATTCAGACGAACAAGGTCGACTCCATTTGCACTGTAAAGATTAGGCCAAATAGTAATATTATGCTTATTGAACTTTAAAGATTTATTGCACAAAATTGTACTCTCACTTTGATCTCAGAGTCGTCATTTTCACAGGTTTTCCATTGGCCGATACTCTCACTCTGTAAAATCGTCCCGGCTCTTGATCGGGATTATCCCATTTAAGACTTGCCGTGCTAAATGCAGTGACATAAATCCAACTTTTAGTATAATTCAGTAACAAATATGGGCTAGATATGACTCATAGATGTGATCGTTTCAATACGTTGCATATCATTTTGAAAAACGTAAAACATTTCATAGAGCAGCCTTGGAAAACATTTGTAGTTTTAAGAGAAATATCGGAGAAAATACAAAGTTGGTGGTAATTTCTACATAGCAACATTGGCTGTTTAAGTAACTTTGTAACAACGGTCAAACAACCAAGTTTGAATCAGCTTTTTTTTCGGCTTGTCGCCATAGTGTTTAGCGAATTTATACCAAAAAGGCTCGATTTTGATATACTTTTTTCTACCTTTCGCCAATATCCACTGCTCTGAAGTTTGTTGGTTGAGTAATCGGCATGAAAGTTGCAGTGTTGCCTATGAACTCTGCTGCGATTTGTTTCAAATCTTGAATAACGTGTGGAAGAATATGATACAGCGTCCCAAATCCTTCCAATAGATACCGCCTATCTGAGCTATTGAAGCAAAATGGTTAGATAATTTATTGAGAAAAAATTCTTCCAATCAATCGTTTTAGTATAAATTCAAAATCAATTTAACATCTCGGTATTCGGATAATATAAATTAATTTCACTTTGCAAAAACAGGTCATATTGTTTATGCAAAATTGTAATAACTGCCAAGTAGCCTACTTGAATACAGACTGAGTCGTTTTTATTTCTTTTTCTTGACATATAAACTGGTATAATTATAGGTTATGCATGACTTATACCAGTCTCGTTTTCATATCTTTAGTCTAATGATCTCATACCCTGACTCCATAAAATAATGATCTGATCCCATCTGAATGGCAATTGGTTCAATTCCATATCTCTTCAAGCCCGTTAATGATTCAAGAGCGTGGTCCATCTTTTTTTCGGTATTAAAGTAGATCACACTCTTAGCAGTATAGGGTCGCACATCCTTGAATACTGTCTGGAATTAAAATATGCCATGACACAATGATACATCGTTTTACGAAAAGCCATATGTAAATAAATTTCGAAAATAAATGCGTTTTTATTACAATTTTAAACGAGAGAAAGAACCTCCGCAATATAAACAGAATTCGGGGTGTAAACTTGAACGCTATAGGTTGAATTAGTATAATTTGGTAGGTACGTGAATATCTTACGGAGAGAGTCTCTACAATCCACTCTTCTGTCAAAACACTTTTACTGATTCTTCTATCTATTGTATATATTTGGGTAAATATATTTTGACTTCGACTTCCAGTCATTTCGAATAAAACTCTGGGTGGGTCAGCTAGTTGTATCATTCCAAGTCTGAAAAAAGGAAAATATGAAACCGATCAAGTTCATATCTAATTGTTGAATCTAGTGATGAAAGTTCCGTAGGAAATAATCACCTGGTTTTATCCCGTCCAAGTTGAAGAGCCTTCACCAAAGTCACCATAAAATGACGAAGCATGAACAGTTCACCGTTGCTGAGTTCAGGCGAAACACCAATCAGAATTGCAAGATCAAGTTGAAGAGAGATTGCTGGAGTAGTCATGTTGGTAACGATTGGTTCACTTTTCATATTACCTGATGTGACCTACAGAAATGGATTCATTCAATTTGACATGGTATTCGGTTCTTGGCATCAAAAGTCAATGATGAACTGTGCATTAAACACCCAAGTAACCACGAATCACTTCCAAGTATGCGAACTATATCCATAAGATGGACGATCGAATAAATGGACCACTAAATGTCAAATAAAACATCCCATTCAGTCCACTAATTGGATGGTTGCTGAAATTTATGATATCGTGTCAATAGAGCTTATTCAGAGAATCGATACGTCGGAAACAATAAAGACAATAAAACAATGATATATAATCTAATCGAATTTTCTTATTTAATAGCGGCGGCAACGAACAGTTGTGTGGTATGGAACATGCTGTTTGAAACCCTGAATTTTTGACAGATTTCAAAATCCATTGAATAAATAAAAACTGTGTTATCTTACGTATAACCGTATCGTATAATGCGTTCCGGGTACCAAGTCGCTGAAATGAATAGCACGTTCGTTGACGACCACTCTTGTGCCACGTAACCCTCCAACTGTGTCGATGATTTCTGCCACATATCGTAATGTACTCTCGCCTCCGTGACCAGGGACATATTGGACACTTTCCCAGAGCAGTGTTGCCGAGGTACTGGTGACATTTTTGACATAGATTCGGTCGGGTGGTGCGAGCCCTAGAATGAGATTTAGATATTTTTTACGTCATGCAAAAATGAATGTACGCTATCAAACAGCTTCGAGTATCACCAATACAATGAGTGACGCTGTTAATGAAGACCAAGAACATCAGAGGGCCCAAACAAGTCCCCTGGGTGCCACAAGTCTTTTGTAAGATCCGGGATCCGGCAGGTATTCTATAGTCAATAAAGAATTCTTCTTAAAAACGGTACCTGTCATTGGGATATTGACAAAGTATTCGCATAAAAATGATTCTATATTCGATTTGGTATTTTTCCATCTACCCCATTCAATGAGTATTAGCCAACTTACTTGTTGTAAATTGTACCGTTGATGGATTGCTCTCTTTGGTCGGATGATACATAGCACGAATTTCGGCGAGATATGTAGTTCCTGGTGTCAGTCCCGTAACGTTGTAATATGCAGTATTGTTTTCTGTGATATATATGAATTTAAATGGCATAGCAGCAGACCTCACCATATTTTGTAAGAATATATTCCATCTACAATTATGGCGAAGTTGTTTATGAGAAATGATAATATATATTTAATTCGAACTAATTAATATGACCAGCATGTGATACTCACGTAAAGTGACATTGAGAGCTGTTCTTTCACCAATAACCGTTATTATTGTCAGCTGAAACGCAGCTACATGGTCTGATGTCAAACTCCACGTTATATCTGCACCAACAGGTGAAACGTTTGACGCCATAACATTCCATGGCCCTGGTAATGCTGATTGAAACACGAAAAATTAAAAGTTTTTTTTTAGCTTATTTTTTAAGTCTTTTCGCGGCACAAATACCCCAAATCGTTATGGACCATGAATTAAATAGAAACGATAATATTTAAAAATGTATACAAATTTATATGTTTTATCAAGCAATATTTCATTCCAAGCTAGGCAAAAAAATGTCTTGGTAACGAAAGCTGCTATACTCATATCTAGTGCCATAGTCCTTCTACTAAAAACTCAGTTATTAGTGACAATCGTAACAGTGAGATTCAAATGTGGGCGGTCACAATCTTTCCTAAGTGCCTTCGAAGACACTCACTTGTCACCACATCCAGCGTTACTGGTTTGCTGTCTTTTCTATATCCGGTTGCATAAACTTCGACCTCATACTTGGTACCAGGTTTGACATTGATGACCTCTGCTTCTCTGTGAATGGAAACGGGAGCTTTCATGACGTAATATAATAAAAGAATTAGGTAACATGTGTTTATGTCCAGATGATTGAACTTAAAAAAGTTTCACACAAAATATACCTCGTGTCCCGTGTTAAAGAGATCTTCCATAGTCTGCCATCTCCGCGACATCTGACCTCATATCCGGTTACGGATTCTTCGCCTTTGCTCCTATCCCATCCAACACTGAAGCGAGTGTCCCTGACACTAAGAGTCCGAACGTTGACCGGAGAATCCAAACGTGGTTTAACTGAAAACGAATAAAATAGTTGAACACCTGATTCAATGTGGATGAAGTTAAAACAAATGCTTTGCGTAATTGAGCTAACAAGCAATTGGTAATGAAACGTATAGAACAAATTGCCATTTTTTGACTTGGTGTATTCGAATGAATGTATATATATATAAAAGTTCTAACCTTTACCAAGTTCTATCAAAACATCTCTACAAATTCCACGTACAATGTCAGGCTGAATGTTCGCCAAATAGTCGTAGGTATGCACATCAAAGACGTGACTTGACGCGGGTTCTGATGCTATCTTTTGTAATTCGTCTGCGTCCGAATGCGTCGATACCCCTACAGCATATACGATGGAACCAGAATCTCGTAAAGCCTGAAATGAAAAATTCCATATTCTTATTATGACATTATTGAATGGCCAAATTTTAATATAATCATCAATGAATTACAATAGCAGCTTGTTCAACGTCGTCACTTGATTTTCCATCGGTCACCAGTAGCACAACTTTTATAGCATTTTCTCTTGCATACTGAAATCCAAGTTGCCTAGCGTATTCCAAAGCAAGTCCCGTTTTGGAGCTCTTTCCACCACCATATCTAAACAGTATCACAGAACGTTTTGAAAAAGTAAATGAAGAGTTATTGAATTAAAAATGTGAATACAGTTTAAAGATATCCACAAGTAAAGATCCTCGTACAAATTCCTGCCTTACGTGATTGTTCGTATTCTATCTTGCAGTGTGCTGCGATCGTTGTATGTGGTGAGAGGAACCACAAATCTTGGTATACGAGACGAGTAAAGAAAAACTCCCATACGCCCTGTAGTAAGTATTCATGAAATTGAGTTTAACGAGTTCAACAAGAATTCAGACCTATTTGAGTTATAAGGCCTAATACTAGTAATTCAGTGGAGTCGTTCTTAATCCATTCAGGCTATATGTTTTTAACTACCTTAAACGAAAATATAAAAACAATTGTTCCTACCAGACCACTAGAATTCTAGGTATCTTTCGATCTAAAATTCAAATATTATAGTGCGTATGAATGTTTTCACGAGCATCGACTTCCAAGTTTTATATATATGATCAAAATTAGACCTGTCGCTCAGACACTCTCATAGATTACCAACATGTACTCGGTTTTGTAAATGTGGGTAGAAAATAAAATACCTAATAATTTTCTCAGTTATAACTCCAGACAATTATGTGCTGTATAGGAACCAAATTCCAGCTTGACATTTTGTTTTGACAACAAAACCATTTCCAAATATTTTTTGATAATAAATGACAATATTTAGAGAAATAAATCAAAATTGAAATGCCATTCGATCAGACATTAGAATGTGAATTTTGATGTTCTGTCTCGAAAAGCTTTTGTTATTGGTTTAGAAAAATCTACGACTGCCATCATTTTTACGCCCAAAAGTATTATCACGAAATTGAATAAAAGTTTCAAATTTTGTAATAATTAAAATTAATTAGGATATTTTAATGATTAGGATACGAACACTCCAAAAAATTGTACTGTTAAGTGATTTTAAGGTTTTACAAATTTTCAATGATAACGGATGTGCCAACGACGTAATGTCAATTTCAAAATGACGTCACTAGAGTGTATGACTGAGGTCAACAATATGATATTGCAACTTGTTGGCCTATGTATGAAATTACTCACCAGCTGAAGGTCCGATCAAAAACGCTTCCGACATGGACAGGAGAAAGTCCTTGAAATGAGCGAAGTTATCAGCCTTCACACTCCTGTAACAAAAACAAACAAATCAATCGTAAAAAATGAAAGAATCGTTTCGGGTCATTTACGATGAAATTTGCAATTCCATTGTTCATGTCTGACGAAGTCAAAGGTGAAGCTATAGGCCTGAGCTGAATGGTTGACAATCTGGAACTCAGATATTCAGTAGACTTATTTATGACGCATATATTTTGAATGCAAATGTAAATTCAAGCATAGAAGCAACATTCAACTAAGAACTTTCCGTCTTCAATTTGTTATATGAAAGAGAGAAAACGTAAAACGAAAATCCCCAAAATACCACGAATCGTCGCCCAAAACGAGTAGCTCCATCCGCGCTCCAGCACATGCGGTGTCGTAATGTACTTCTGCCGGAAGTGATTTTTCCTTACTTCCTTGAGAGGTGACACGTATTGCATAATCACGTGTTTCAAGGTCATTCAAAGTTGCTTCTTCCAAACCTGTGACAATTGAATAATGAGTTTAGGAATTGTAAACTGAGCAAAACAAATATAAAGAAAAACTTACCAACTTGAACTTGTATTGACCTCATGTCTTTGACCGGAGTTCCAACATTCCCATATTGTACCATGTATGACGTCACTAATCCCTTGGGCCGCTTCCATTTGAGTGTAACCCGTGACCTGGAAAGGACGCCAATGTTTAGGCCAGATGGTGCATCAGGACTCACTGCGTACAATTCTGCAAGAACATTAATTATTGATTTAATTAGTTTTGTTACTTTTTAAGCCTGATTTGTCAAAAACTTCGTCATTTAATCTGTGATCCGTTCATGGTAACTACAAAAATGTATTTTGAATTTCATTAAAAGTTGTTTTTCGAAAAAGAAAACTCATGTAGTACAGCATGTATATGTGCACTAACGATTGGGTCAGCTTTTTACTATGTTGTGATTATCACCCTTGGGAATCTAAACGCCGAAGTGTTTGCGCATATTTTTCAGATTTGTTGATTGCAAAGCAAAAAGTCTTTAAATAGATATTGTAATATACATAATGATTTATATATTCTGCAAAACCAAACAAAACCCGTATAGAGTTGAAAATTTATCAAACGCCACACCTTTCATGCAAATGCACAAGCTACTAACACAGATAAAGGAATTCTATTTTAATGAGGAAAAAATGTAAAAATAGTATATTTAAAAGAAATTTAAATCGAAAAACTCCTTCAATAGCGATCGTGTTGAGATTGTCTGAGATTGAGATGTGATATAGTCACGTGATAGGGTTAAAGATCACGACAATTTGACAAATTACAGACACAAGGAAACCAGTCTTATCTTGTCTTTTTGTTTAAAATGTAACACGAACCACATATTCCGTTTGAACTTGTCACAATTGACAACATTGTGAAGTAGATAGGGTGCTAATGAAGCTTGGGGTATACGGGTCTTTAACTAAGTGCAAACCGCGACCAGAATGACAAAACATGAAAACTAATGACGTGAAAATGTCTATTTATGCCTATGACGTAATAATATACTGTAGTTCGTTCATGCTATTTCTACACATAATCACTAAACGGTATAGAATCACTGACATGAAAAAAGAAGAAATAATTAATATTTGCAAAAATACAAAATCCCATAAATATGATGATACCGGGATACCTGGTAAATTTATCGTTTTGGCGCAATTTTTAACTTGTCCTTGGGGATAGATCTTACAAACAAGAACTTCACACTTATCCCAACTGTACGTTTTGCAAATTCCAGTGTATACAGAAAGCATTCCAATGAAGCAATACGTGAATGGTGAAAGCCGAATATTTGTTAGTTAGTCGACCACAGCCCCTGATACGCAACCTAATGACGTAGTTCTAGATATAGTTTAGTTTCATGTGGTTAACTAAGGAAACCGATCTCATAAGTGCTGTAAGCAATTTCTAGAATTATGAGAGTTCAATATTAGTGGTTTGAGTAGGGCATGGTTGCAAGTAAATCGTTTGTTATCATACCTTCCATTTTGTCATTTATCCGTTTATGTATCTTTGGCCAAACCTCACAAATTTGTTCTGGATCTGAAACGTAGAATGCTCCTGATGCTTCTCCAGCAATTTCACGCAATTCGGACTAGAAACAAAAAATCAAATTTATTTTACGATTTTTGAGTCTAATGGAACTATGGACCTCATTTCACCAAATACTATTCAAGCTAGACAAGCTTTCAGCCTAATGGAGATGTTGTAACAATGCTGCGAGCGACATTGGATATCTCCGACTGGTCAGTCCATCAACGTGTCATGTTATTGACCAGTGGACCGACATGCCCGTGTGTTTTTAAGATTCAAGTGTCAAGAATATTTGAGGCCATTTTGAAAGAATTTATTTTCGTTTTACAAAGTATATTTATCAGAGAATTTTACTGATATAAACTGATTGTTCCAATTGCGATTTTATACAGTGTTTTACTCCGAAGAAGGATCAGAACTCACTGTTACATAAAAACACGATGTTTCAATACACGATGGTACAATATACACTAAAATGGCATGAATTTTTCAATGTTATTATTTCATATACAACTTAGTAAGTATGAGGACAAACAACACAATATTTGATTTCAATACCTGTGGCGCATCATTAATTCCAACTGCCACGGCAAAAGTATTTTCTTGTTGCAGGAATTTCTGCGCTGGCCCTTTGACAGAATCTTGTGAGGGATCGTCAATGACAACTATTAGTACTTTCGCCACATTTAATCTGCCACCGAAAGCCATACTAAATAACTGCCTCCTGGCGTGGCTTATTGCACGCCCTGTATGCGTCTTTCCTCCTCTGTATGGAGCAATGTCTAAAGCTGCAGAAAAGTAAGAAATATTTTCTTGTTATTGTAAAAAATGTTCAGAGTCATTATTAATTTACATAATTTTTGGGTAATAATGGTACATATCACGTGACATATATTTACCCTTCATGACGTCAGCTTGCCTTTGATGCGTTCTTAGATCAAATTCGGTTCTTGTTCGATAAGCGTATTGCACTGTTCCAATTCGAACCTATATAGGTAAAATTAATTAGTTAAATAAATAGAATTGTTACACTATTTTCAGAAGTTCATACATATAGAAAAACGACCAAGTTTAAACACTTTTGCCTGAAATTGGTAAAATCAATTTGTAACATGAAACGATAATGAGTTATAGATGTGCATTATCATGTGAAGTTCATCAATCAATATTTACTTAAACGGTGATGTGTCAAAAATTTACTGTTTTCTACCACAACCCGTAGAATGGAAATGTTCTCAGAAATAAGTCTCGTTGCATGCCAATACGAAACTGTGAGTTCCCAATAGAAAAGACAATATTGAATGACAAACAAATTGAAAAATTCAGGTTATATTCAAAGTGCGTCCAACTAACACCTCCCAATTTTGTGGTTCAGATAATAATATGAACTGATATATTGCCTAATTAGTAATACATCTATACTACAATGCATTCACTTTTGTAGACGCGGTGGCCCAATGGCTAAAGAGTTACACTTAACTATCCCATGCCTACCACCTCACCCAGGTTCTAATAAGTTGGGCAGCCAACGCACAACAGAAAAGACTCCGGTTCTTTCAAAACCATAGAGGCTCCGGATGCTTGCGCGGAACCTTGTTCGGAGCAGAAGGCGTAAAAATACTTCGTATAATCGTATAAAACATAATACAAATAAAGACCATTCAGAAATAAATTGGCGCTCCAGAAGTATGTGTACCAATATAGAGGTAACTAATTTTGTTCGCCTACTTTACATCAAGTTGTGTAAAGGTTGTGTATATTTACTTGACTAACACAGACAGTCTCCGAACTCGTAATAGAACTAAAATGAGGGAAATCGTAATAACCCTAATCTGGTACACATACTGCGGGAGTACCATACCATTTGACTGTTTTAATTTAATGAAGTTACGTCAAGGAAAAGTTTTATAATATGCACAGTTTAAACACTGCGATACCTGATCTTGTTTTTGTGCATTTGCGCCATCATAACGCGGCTAAATATCCGATATAGTCATTCTTACCTTTCGGTCAACATCAATTTTATTTTTATTATTTTAAGACAAATTCTAAATGTGGCAGATAAGAAATAATTTTTGTGAATGGATCGATACGGCGCACTTCAAGTTTGGGAACCAATGGGGTAGCTAATCGTAGATGATATTCAAAGACCTTTTTGGAACAAAGTTATGAAATCGTTTGTAAGTATATATAGACAGGAGCTTGATACATTGCTTGATCATGCCTGATACTATGTATGCATGAAATTATTGTTATGTCATCTTAAATTCAATCACGGCCAATGTCGTCAAGGCGCGGTCTATCATTGGTCGATGCTTGACAAAGCGATATTCTATTTCTTCAATCAGTATCTTAAAATAGCTACCTTGTGATATCCAATGTCCAAATGCTCCGTTAAATTTTTAAAAAGACATTTAATTTTTTCAAAATCTCCATCTCCGACTGAGTAGGACCCGTCCAGCAGGTACAAAACGTCGAGCTCTTTTGAGTAAAGTTCTAAAATAACAGAAACGGTGTTACGAAATTACCATTAATGAAAACTAGTTGACATTATCTAAAAAACGATATGGACGTATTTTCAGTCAAAAATTCGGAGGCTGTAGAGTGCAGAGGTGAACGTTATCATTCCCAGTTACTATTAATTCTCAATTTAAGATCACTTAAACCTCATTTTATTCCGGGTGAATTGAAGAATCAGTCTTTTTTTTTCAAATTTTAGTGACTTTATAAATAAAAGTTCTAGGCGTACGAAGTTCACAAATAGAAAAAGGAATGATTGTCTATGGTTCAGGTGTATGATAATACAAATAGTTACTGAGAATAAAGTTTGAAAAATGTCAATTGAAGACTCCTAAAATCTAAACAGGTACAGCGGTGCCTGTGGCATAGAGTATATTATTATAACTGAAAAATGTGGCTCCTGGTGAAGTTTAGATCTTCAAAATAGTTCATTGAAAAGTGTTATGAATAAATGTAACAATTCGTTGGGAAACATGGTTCTTTCAAAAAAGCATTCGGAAAAACAACAAAAAAACTAAATCATACCTGGTACATATGGCGTAAAAGGTGCAGTTGTAGGTTCTAAAGTGGATTCTGCAAAATATTTATAATATATATATTTATCACAAAGTGGCCAAAGAGGTAAAATTTCATTCGAAAAATAATTATTTCTCACTACAAAACACCGGTGGTTTATGGTAGTTTGCAAACCGTATCAAATAACAACAAGAATGCATGACTATCACCCACATCCTTGAATAAGTGTCATAAATGAAAAATGAGGGATTGAATTCAATTTAAAATCTAGACAACCTTGAAATGTTTAGTTTAATTGAGCGTATCATAACATTGCGACATGCTGGAAGTTGATCACAGAAAATAAATACGCGCTGAAATCAAAACAAACTTTTTGTTCCGAAATTTTTGATGAACCCAAACAAACAACTCTTGCTAAATTTGCAAAGTATGCAGCTCGCGTTGCGTAACTGCAAGGTCTACATGAAACAGTTTCAACTGCTATCCATCAAAAATTTCTACATAATATTACGATAGATGAGGACGTTTCTATTCATTATATCGTCTTGATAAACGTGGAAAAATTCTGCGGTAAACAAAATAAATATTGTAATTGATTTTATAAATATTTCAATGGCTAAGAGGCAATTTTAAAATCGAGTTTCCAATAAAGATGTATTTTGATTTTCGTAATGATTTAACAACAATTTATTTAAAAACGTAAAGATTAGTATTGAAAAGGAAAAATTTTCGTACAACATAATATGAAATTTCATGATCTACAGAAATTTAATTTTTCCTATCCTAACACTCATTATTTAAAAGTAATAAAAATCATAAACCTCTCAGTATATTGGATCTTAACTCCATATGATGGGTTCAGTTGATTCCAAAGCACTTAAAATAGAACAGAATGACGAAATACTTGTTTAGTGTTATGGGTCAAATTTCCTGTGTCATCGGCAAGGCGCCAATAATTGAATAAGAACACAAGTTTATGTAACAGCCAACTAAAGCCAAAACTAAGTCACTACAAACATATTTCTGTAACAACGTGTATCTAGGTTAAATGTTGTCTTACCATCACTGGAATTTCCGTCATGGGAGACAGTAGAATTTGTTCCATTCACTGAATCGCATCGTACAAGGTACAATACAAATGCAACTCCGTATATTATACTTTTACGTCTCTTCATTTTCATTGAACGTCGTATTTTTGTTCAAATATTATAATCCCAGATTTGCATTTTATGTCAAAAATGTCTAACTTTAGACGATTCCACTATTTTTATCTTTATAATAAACTCTTACTATTGAAATCAAAAAATATATTAAGCTAAGGCATTATGTTTTAATTACGTCATGCTAATTGTGACGTTATAACAATGGTTATAGCACTGAACTGCGATGTAAAACAAGCCTGCATAACACCTTTTCCTAAGCGAAGTTAATGAGAATTTCAGACATTTGCTTCTAAAAAATCTTTCAACAATCATCTATTTGTACATTTCATTTCGGAGAATATTTTGGCTGCTTTACTTCACCTTTTGAATGTGGTTGAAACCGGTGGTTTAACTAACGACGCCTACATAGGTAAGTTCACGTTGATCTATGTAAGCTGGGTTACCTATTGCACCCAAAACAGATTGTACCCGAATGGTTTACACTTTACATGACGCTTTGACATTTAAGGAGTTAAAATTACAAAGCAAATGTACATATTGTTTAACTATCTTCGACAGCCCTGCAGACAAATCTACTACGGTCAAGTTTTTTCGCTCAAATTATAGTGACGTCATGTTCCAACTAAACTTTCGCATTATGATCATGGAATTGGTTATAACTCTGTCATTGGTAAAGAATCAAAGCTTCAAATTCATACGCCATAAACTTTGTGATTTTTGCATTGCACAGAAATGCCTTTGTTGAATAATGGATCTGAACCTGCAGGATTAAGTCGATGTTATAAATCGATTAAGATACTCCGACAGAAAATCAATTTCAATTACCCAACCACCAGGCTTCTTTATTTAGAAATGTATTTCCGCTATGTACACTGACTGTTAACTTTGAATCGCCAAATTACATATTTCAAAAACAAGTGCGATATAAACTGATGTGTATCAATCAAAAAAAAAATACCAGAATGCATACGCCCCTTTATCTAAAAGTATCCCAATTTGATTTAAACTAATTGGACTATTTTTAAGCGTAGCACGGAAAAATCTTTCTTCATTTTGCATCGATATACTAATAACTTCTAATCTAATTTCCCATTCATGTACATGTTCGAGATAGAATTTCATCTTAAAAATAATTCTGTGATATCCACAATAACACATCATCTGACCCCCTCAAAAATAAATAAATAAGAAATAAAGATAAATAGATTTATGTACATATTCAATTCTGAATCACTAATGCATCAACTTTGGACTAAATTGCTTTCATATTCGAGTATACTAAATTTCAACTTAAATTAAAATTACGATCTAAATTAAAAAAATAATTTCAAGTTAAATCACATTTTTTTCAAAAGCACGTTTTTTTATATAAAATTTCTGTATATAAAAAGCACTTTTAACATTCTAAAATTTCACACAACTCCAACATCTCACCACACCCTGAAGCACGATGCCAACAAACGAACTCCTCACTACTGAGATATAGTGTAGAAAAAGCATCGAGAACAGTCTCCCAGCCGAGTATTTCCTTTTTGGCAATTAGATGTGTTTTTGAATGTCAAAACTAATGATGGATTGGCCCTTAAAGAGTCAATACACCTGGGGCTGCCAAGCATTAGGTAATTCACTCCTAAGCGAAATTTAAAATTCAGTCCTCAAAATTTTGATAACTTTTTCAAATTAGACACCCCATACATAGGCTGAAGATAAAACAATATTTTAGTGTACAGTTTATACACGATCCATACTTGAACAGTATAACATACAATATATCGGCGTAATATTTCAAAATTAAACAATAATTGGTGTATTATCGCTGATGTTTTTATTCGATTACAATCGCCTACAAGTATTTCGTTCGTTTCTGAAAACGCAATTTGGAGTTTTGCCAATAAGTCCTGTCCAGGAGTGAATGGTCATACGAGGTTGTTGTTATTGGCGCCAAATCGACAAACATGCAAAGCCGGATGGTCATTCACGATCGTATTTTGAGTGCGTTTCATATTTCTGAGTAAGTTTTTGTGCCTTTGATTCGAGTAACTACTCGTATGAAATATCTAGATAGGCCTTCAAAAGCTGTCCCTTTTCTGAGTATTGACCAAACTTACAGATCGATCATTTGTACAGTTTGGTAATCCAATGGTCACTAATTATCTCAGTTTGAGTACGTTTTCACACTTTTGAGTGAGCTTTTGTGCCTTCGAACTACTCGTGAACTACTCGTATGAGATATCGCGATAGGCCGTCAAAAGCTGTTCATTTCCTGAGTATTGACCAAACTTACAAATCAATCATTTGTACAGTTTGGCAATCCAATGATCACTAATTATCTCAGTTTGAGTACGTTTTTACATTTCTGAGTGAGTTTTTGTGCCTTTGAACTACTCGTGAAGTACTCGTATGAGATATCTCGATAGGCCGTCAAATACTGTCTATTTCCTGAGTATTGACCAAACTTACAAACCAATCATTTGTACAGTTTGGCAATCCAATGATCACTAATTATCTCAGTTTGAGTACGTTTTCACATTTCTGAGTGAGTTTTTGTGCCTTTGAACTACTCGTGAACTACTCGTATGAGATATCTCGATAGGCCGTCAAATACTGTCCATTTCCTGAGTATTGACCAAACTTACAGATCAATCATTTGTACAGTTTGACAATCCAATGGTCACTAATTATCTGAGTTTGAGTACGTTTTCACATTTCTGAGTAAGTTTTACAGTGATTGAATTTGAGCATCAAAATCTGTACATACCTTTATATTATTTAAACTTGCAAACCAAATACTCATACCTCCTGGTGATCACCGACAACCACATTTTGAGTGCCTTTTCACATTTTTTTTTGAGTTAGTTTTTTGTGATCAACTACTTTAAATAAAATAGAAACATCAATTACACTTCCATAAGTCTTCCTTATCTTTTGTATTCATTTGAATATATTTCTGTTTGCACTTATTCTAACCACAGTGAGGGTTGAGGCAGGGTAATTATGCAGTATCTCCAATACCCATCAGAACTTAAAAGTATTTTCCCTTTTTTCTGTCACGTAGGAAATGCCTTCAGACAGTGGCGTAGACCACGGTTTTTGCTAAATTACATTAACGTATTTTATTTCGTTTAAACTATTTTGACTGATACAGTATTCCATTATCTCAGAGTGTTATATTTCTTTATCTACTTTTAAAAATAACGTAAGCCTGAGCTGAATTCATGCGTAATGCGTAAAATGAGACCACTGGAAACCGTGATGATTTACCCGTCGACGCATGAAAAAATTACATTTTACATTACATCCACCCACTTTTAGATATTGTTAAATACCGATCGAAGAGGCTCAAAGATGCTCTGCTGGTGAATACTAAATCAAAGTACTGAACGGAGTCAATTTTTGGACTCTAAACCCGATCCGAATCCGATAATGAACACCTGAATACTAAAATTCACTTGACATCCTGAAATCGGTCGTAATAACATATTTTATCAACAGTAATTGTATTTTCTACAAAATTGCTAACTGAGTAAATTCATGGTTTAAGCAATTTTTGTTTGCTGTTTTTAATCCGAGTCCAAATTATTTTCAAACTGTGAAAAAATCGCCTCGATTTGATATTATAATATTCAAATTTATTACTTTTGCACCTGACATAAAACGTGGACTTCGAAATAAAAGAAAGACAAAATTGATAGCGAATTATCAAATCTCTGGGGAAACGCGCGATCACAAGAATTTAATAATTAAATAAACTTTCTTGGAATTATTGAAAAGTTTTTGGATAAATTTTTCAGAAATCCAGATTCTTTTTGGTTCATACATAATGCATGTTCACTGTTGAAAAACAGGTAAAATAATATAGCATTTTATAATAACTATATTTTTCCGTATTGTGCA